CCGATTCAGAATCAGAATTATCCGAACTGGATTCGTTGTCACTTACGCCATTATTAAGGTTCAATCTTTCCTCATCAGATTCTTCAGCAGCAGTCAAAGCAGGCGCTGAAACATCCTTTGTAGATTTAACCGGATTAAGTTGCTTATATTCATGTGATTGTTCATCAATAGCAAACTCTGGATTTTCGAACATTTCCTTGAAACGATCATCGTTAATAACAGTCTCGGCATCGGTGGAACCTTTTTTGTCTTGTAATTTGGATGCCAAATCTTTATTGACTTTAATCTTAGTGTTAGTAATGGCTCCAGTGGATCTGATTCTGGATTCTCTTTCCTTTTCGATTCTTTTTCTGATTTCTCTTTCCCTTTGGTCTTGGTACGAGTTAGGATTAGCAATCAAGTTAACTTTATCATATAACTCGGTATCAATAAAAAAACCATGCATATAAGAACGTAAAACCTTGGAACCGATTAAATGTGCAATATTTAACTTGGTAACTTCATCTCTAGTAATGAATCTATAGTTCGAATAGACAGAATCTGCAGGCTTTTCTTCTAATTCTTCAGTAACGTTATCCAAGAATGAACACCATCTTGGTGCTGGCCCTAAGTTTGGAATATAGTATGTGTGCATTGGCATTCCTTCATTAGCCATGAAAAACATACCTGAGTTCTTAATGTATTCGACGTCATTGATATCTACACTTGGTTCCATCGAGGCAAAAGGTTTACCGTCGTTTCTATCCCAAATTTTGGCAATTCTCTTATCTGTCGTTAAAATTTTATCAGAATCTGAAGAGTTTTCATCTAACCATATTATCTTTTTGATACCATAGCCGTAACCTTGATCCTTTATTATGGAAGGTGTTGAAGTTCTTAAATCATAAATTAACGATTTACCATTAGATGTACCACATGCGAAATTTAAACCATCGTTACGGAACGAGGTTGCAGTGATTTCAACATTTTCATTTAACTGATCGCCGACAAATAATTTTGCTGCTCTTTGTCTACTTCTAGGATCCCAAAATTCAACTGTTCCATCTTCCAAACCAGCCGTAACTAATCCGTGGACAGGGTTAATGTCAACAGAGTTAACACCTCCCGTGGTGTCCAAAACATAAGGGTTCAAGAAACGACCTTTATCCAAATTTAATCTATATAATTCGTTGCCTGATGCACCAACCAATAAGTCACAATTAGATGCATTATAAGCCATACTTCTTCCAAACTTTGGAATTCTGGATCTATAGTGAATACCACCCTTCGTATGAAACTCAATAGATCTGTCATTCTGTAAATGAATCGACTTTGTCCAATCGTTGGATAAAACAAGAAAATCAACATTCTCACAATCGGTATGTCTATCAAACTTTAACGACAAATTTGCAAAATCATAAACATGTATCTGTGGTTTATAGGTACCGGTGGCCATTGCATATTGACCATCTGGTGAGACTTTAATTTTATTAGAAGCTTCACTAAATTCGAAATCTTGAATCAATTCAATACGATTTTGGTACTCTATATCGTTTTTTAAAGCTCTCTTTCTCTTTTTTGCAATCCAATCAGGTAATGAACGAGATACATTACTACCCGACACTTGATATACAGAGACATTCCCTGCGGAAGTAGATTTCAACACCATGTCTGATAATTTTGTCTATTCTATAAATGTCTTACTTCAATACCTGAAAATTTAGAGATGAGGTTTTAATTTTTTTTTAATACATCAATAAATCACGTGCAGATAGGAACATATTATTATGAACTACGAAGCCTATGGACTTATACAACTGATTATAATTTCCCATATTGATCAACATGGATGCTTTGTTGTCTTGCGAAATTAGTAACGTAGTTAGATTTTAGTGGTGTTGAAGCATTTGCAATTTCTGGCTCGAATATAAATAACAGATCATTATTATTTGAATTATTGTAATGTTTTTTACTCTCCGTATGATCTTGCATATTCGGATACGTATGAGGGACATTAACATACGGATCATTCGTAGTCAAGCTATCCATTCTTAACTCTTCAGTAATTGGGTCTGAACTGACTGAATGGTGTTGTCTATGAGGATACATGAATTTATATTCATCATAGGAGATTTCGACAGTAACCGAATTCGATTGTGATGATGATTTCTCTTTCTTGTAATCTGCTCCCTTAATTTGATAAGTGCTTTCTTGATTGCTAAAAGTAGTGAAAAAGAAGTCTAGGGCGCTTTTCACTAGCTCATCATCCTGTATAGCATTCGAAGCTGTTTTGTCCACTAAAAACTTGAATAGCGACTCAAATATTGGGACAAATCTCAAGTCAAAGTAACAAATATCACTAGCGAAGTTGATTAGACATACCCACATTAAAGAATTCTGAGTGTATCTAAGATCAATCGAAATCAACTTGTGATAGATATCTAATATTATGTTCCGGATTGCTTTTGCATCCTTGTTATGATCATCATACTTTTGTAGAAATACCAATGATGGGAACAAGGAAGAGAACAATAAGTCGATCAGCCGAAATATTAATTTCAGGTTAACTTGTTCCGCAGAGTACGTATTCATCATCGAAATCGCGTATAGTTCATCTTGGAGAATTTGCAGCAATAAGTGCAAGTTTAATGATTGGCAATGCATTAGTCTAATTATATTACCACTGTTATTAGCTAAACTTAAGTCATTATCGAATGGGTCTTTAGTATTAAAACTGTCAAAGAAATAATCGGACTTTGGCAATGGTGGTAATCTTGTTCGCTTGAAATGGGTTGAAATAATTTCAGGAATTTCTTCATTATCAGTATAGATACTAAGTAATGAAGTCGAGATAATATAATTCAAGTTAGCTAAGAGGGCAGTTAATGATATCTTTGAATTAAGCTGGTTGTACTGCTGGTATAGGTTCTGTTTACCACATAAGAAGAGATTATTCAAATTTCTCAATGACATGGTGAGGTAAGAAAGCAAATTATATGAGTGCAAATAATTGAAGTCATTACCATGGTCAAGTATCTCTAAAATAAACAAGATAGAGTGCTTGGTGTCTAGCTTGATTGAAATACTGTTTGTCTTTGAAAGGCTCGAAATAACTTTCTTAGTAGATGTTAAACATGGGTCGTTCCATATTAGAGTATTTCGGATAATTTCAAGCACTTTCGAGACACTCTTTTTGTTAACACTAGATAATTCAAGTTCCGAAAGCGATTCTAAGTTCTCAGCCAGTCTCGTGGTCAAAAACATTAAGGCTAACAACTCTTTCTTTGATTCCAATCCAAGACCCTCAATTAATAAGATCAACATATCAGTCAATTTTTTATTATTGTCTTTAGTAAATGTGGAGACAGAACTCATGTTTTCTAACTCTAATATGATCTGATAACATTCTTCGACGTTTTCTGTGACAAATTTAACGTACCCCATGGAAATGGCATGCCATTCGTCTTTCACATCTTCTGAAAGAGCATCTGTAACTTTTCTGGTATACCAATACGCATACAGAAAATTGACCGGTTGTAATTTCGGCGCTAATTCTAATATAAGTTTGCAAAATTGCTTCATGATGGTATCATGAGAAGTGAATAGCCGCATAAAGCTCTTAAATAATACCGGATGGTTCATGTGGTGCCAAAGTAGCATTCCAAATGTGTCTGTTAATGCCACAATGTCCTCGCCCCTTGATAGGTTTATTGAGATTAACTTCATCAACGGGTAAAACAAATTCAAGTCTTGGTGATCTATCACTTCCGAAGGAAATTGGGGATGTCTGTTAAGCATCTTGATTAAATCATCATATATCTTTTTAATCTTCCTTAGTAGCTCACCACTATAATTTGCCTTACTCTTATCTTTTGTTTCAAGTTTTTGTAATTCGTTATTAACATTCACTATAGCCAATGCAACCGACGTGCTATCAATATTCTTTACCATACCACCGCTTATTGCCCCTAATTTAGTAGGCTTTGTTTGTTCCGTTGCTTTCATCTAATAAAACGTTTCTAGTACATATATATGAGAAAGAAGATATACTAAAGAACTATTAAGAAAAGAAATCTAATGTGGCACCTTTAGACCATGTTTCAAATAATATGTTGCAAAATCGATTTTCCGACACAAGTCGAGACCATCATTTTTACCGATAACGTTTAGCAACGTCAAGATACACCGAATTGTAGATATTAACGGTCCAGATCACTACAGATAAGTTCGAACTTTCCAAATTTCTTCGAAATGCCGTTTGTTTCACTGGTCACTTTATAATTTATATATATGATACACGTTGGCGCATATTCAGGTAGATTCGAGTGTGGGGCAGCATTATATTAACATCTGATTTTAAAAGGTATTATTTCTACAAATACAAGCTTGCATGACTCGGGTATTTCTATTGGGGGAATTTCTTCGGTAAACTATTGTATTAATTATCCGTATGTGCTTTCGACCGCACAAAATGTTCGATAGGTATGGCTGCGAAATATTAATTAGAATAAGGTTCAAAGGGAATAATCGACCGTATATTAAATTAAGATGACTGGCTATTGTATTCGGAACTTTAGTTAGGTTAAAGGTATTATAGAAAGTGGATCACTGCATTACAAACTCGTTTGCTATTGTAGTTTCACAATATGACCATCAAAAATGGAAGTTTGATAATCGGGTCTCCACACACGGGCTTCCTAGATGTCTGGCTCCATGGAAACTACATGATGGGAGTGAATGTGGAGGCAATATGGAGTCCCGTAAGCCTCCCGGAAGTACCCCTTCCTTAACTGAGATTAAGGCTGTTCTTTTGGGGGTCACATTTATATTACATACATGTACATCAAGATGCATAAAGGCAGGTTGTAAGCTGAGTTTGCATAGTAGGCGGAAGGAGAGGATTTATCATCATTGTCTAGATCAAACACATCTTGCATTAAGTTCGAAACTATAAATGAGAGGTGGATTCGATATTTTCGAACTTGGTTGACAGTATAAACTGCCTAAAATATTCGCTAAGTATGCTTAATTTTAGCTATTCATTTAATAGAGCAAAACGTCGGTCTAATGACCCAAACGACAGTTCGTATCCTTATTCACCTAAGAATTTATTTCATAAGAGATTGGACTCGCTTGATCATGGATACTTTCCTAAAAACGCAGAATTCCAAAGGAAATCGGAAGGCAGCGACACATTAAATTCTGATTCCCGTGAAGGTTCCAGTTATTCAGTTCCGGCTTCACCTATAGATTTGAGCAGATCTAGTAAAACTGCAAATACCTCTATTGATTCACAACCAGTTATAGACTTAGATGATGTGAAAAAAGAGACTTCAAAGTTCAAGAGGAGCTTAAGCTATCCATCTCAAAATACTTACAGTGGGAGCAATGCTGGGGAATATTCTATAAGTGGATATTCCAAGGGAGATTATATTCCTAATTATAGTTCTCAGGCTAGAAATAATAGTGAATATGCATATATTCTTTCAGGAGATGACCAAATTTTAACCGTGAACAAGGCTGGTATCTCTGCGCATGATGTAAAGGTCAAGTCAAGGAAGCAACTAGAGCTACCTGATGAGCCGAATAAAGAAAAACATGTCGATCCAGGGGATCTTGATATAGATGAGATACTTTTTGCTGGACAAATCACCTTTGAAAAAAACGGAAGTATCAAGCCAAGAACAGCTACAAAAATTCGCTTTCTTCCTGAAGCATCGGAGGAATTGCTTTCTAGACTTCAATTAAAAAATGCTGGCATTGTTGATGTTTCGGATAAAAATAAGAAGGAAGATGATGAAGAAGAGGATGATGAAGAAGAAGATGATGAAGAGACTGTATTTGATGGCAAAGAAATAAAAGATAGACGCATAAAAAATGGTGGTAAGAAGAAGACGTTCATATCGAAGACAATATCTAAATTAAGCTCTGGTTTTTAACAGTTATATCATTTTCTATTTATTGGAACTATTTAAATATTCCATTTATATTATTTAAGGTTATCTTGTAGATTTATCTATTGTGCAATGGAGACTCATTTAGAATCAACAAGCTTATAGTACTTTATTTTAATGCAGCTTCTAACTGTTCAAATTGCTTTAACACGGCCGACTTTGCTGTACCACCGATTGCAGTTCTTCTTTCGACGCTAACTTCGAAATCAAAAACATCCGTAACATCGTCCGCAAATCTTTCATCAATTTCCTTGAATTGTTGCAAAGATAACTGGTCAATTCCTGACAATTTCAAATCTTCTGCAACTCTAACACATTCACCAGAAATATGATGAGTTTCCCTAAATGAAACACCTTTTCTAACCAAATAATCGGCTAAATCAGTAGCCAACATATCCATCGTTAAAGCCTCTCTCATCTTTGTTTTGTTAATAGCCAAGGTCGATATCACACCAGTCGCAATCAAGACAGAGTGCTCAACAGTGGTTAAAGCATCAAATAATGGTTCCTTGTCTTCTTGCATATCCTTATTATAAGTAGAAGGGATTGACTTAATAGACATCAAGAAACCGGATAAAGAACCGAAAACACGACCCGACTTACCCCTTAATAATTCTAAGGAATCAGGATTCTTTTTCTGTGGCATCAATGATGAGCCTGTAGAGTAAGCGTCAGCTAACTTAACAAATCCAAACTCCCCAGTTGAATAGATAATTAAATCCTCAGAGAAACGAGAGATATGATTCATGAATAAAGTTGACCAAAATAAAGTTTCAACCACAAAATCACGGTCACTGACAGCAGTCAACGAATTACCAATAGGGAAATCAAAACCTAAGCCATGCGATAAAAAGTCTCTATCAATACCGTAAGGATGGCCAGCTAAAGCACCGGCACCTAATGGGCATTGATTGACTCTTTCTAAGATTTGCTTCAATCTTTTATAATCTTCGGTGAAATAGGTAGCATACATAGATAACCAATGAGACCATCTAATAGGTTGAGCCTTTTGTAAGTGGGTGTATCCTGGCATCAAAACGTCTATTTCTTCCTTCGCTCTCTTAGAAATAGTCTTAATAAATCCCGCCAAAAATTCAAGCATCTTAGTCAAGTTTTCGCGGACATAGATTCTCATATCAGTAGCAACTTGATCATTTCTGGATCTACCTGTATGAACCTTTCCTGCAATATGCTTGCCAATAATTTCTCCTAATCTTCTTTCATTGGCTGTGTGAATATCTTCATCTCCAGCCTTTTCAACAAAATTACCAGCTTCCCATTCCTTTTGAATATCACCCAATCCTTTGTGAATAGCAACTAATTCTTCATCAGTAATCAACCCAACCTTATTTAATCCTTGAGTATACACTTTTGTACAGTTCAAGTCAGCTTCAAACATTCTCTTGTCATATGGTAAGGAAGCATTGTACAAGTCCATTAATGGGTCAGTGGCTCCGGTGAATCTACCACCCCATAACTTGCTTTCTACTGGTTGTTCTTGAGACATTTTCAGTTAATATACTTTGATATTGTTTATAGATTTAATAGAGGGTGAAAAAATTCTAGTGAAAAATTATGGGTATTTATGGACACTATCTGATAGTCTGATTCATCACCGCGCTTAACAATTGCCGTTTTAAGAAGTCGTGTTCCGTACAATTAGTTGACTCATATATAACAGCTATAATATTAATTAAATCTATACATTAAACTACCTATTATAAGCAATTATCTATGGCTTACATCTTCCAGTAAATCTTGGATATAAGGAACAATCTCTGACAGTGAATCTGTCACATAACCAAGCTAAAATTCTTTCAGTACCTAAACCATAACCACCATGTGGACATGTACCATACTTTCTTTGATCAGTAAACCAGTAGTATGAATCTAAGTCAAGACCTTCTCTTTTGATAGCAGCAACCAATTCGTCGTTGTCGTAAGTTCTCATAGAACCACCGGTGATTTCACCGACAGTTGGCATCAAGACATCGACCGATTCGGTGACTCTTGGATCATCGGCACACTTTTGCATGTAGAATGATTTAATTTCGACTGGGAAACGGATTAACAAAATTGGAACACCAATGGTGTCAGTCATCTTACGTTCAGCAGCTTCGGCAATATCGTCACCGAATTTGAATTTTTCACCATCTTCGTTTGGAATGCCGTGTTCGTTCAACCAGTCTAAAGCATGGATGTATTCCATTCTCTTGAAAGGCATTTGTGGAGGAACAAAGTTGGGGTTTAATTGTTTGATTAATGGACCAGCTACTGGGTCTTCAACAACATACTTGACAACGTAGGTAATTAAACGTTCAAGATGTGCTAATAAGTCATCGAATTCTATGAATCCTAATTCACTTTCAATGTGAGTATATTCGGATAAATGTCTTCTGGTGTGCGATTTTTCGGCACGGAATGACTCTTGAACACAGAAAACATCACCTAATGCGGGTAAACAGGTTTCTAAGTATAATTGGGAAGATTGAGTTAAGTAAGCTTCTTCACCGTAGTAATCCATTTTGAATAAAGTAGATCCACCTTCAACTTGGGTTTGAACCATACATGGTGGTGTGACTTCCAAAAGACCTTCTTCAGCGAAGAATCTTCTAATCGCTTGGAGTAAAGTAGATCTGACCTTCATAACAGCCGACAAACTTTCTCCTCTTAAGGTTAAATGACGCTGGTCTAACAACAATGATGGATCCGCGTTTTCTTGGACCTTGTTACTGAAAGCTTCTTCACCGCTTGGTGCAAGACCCACAACCTCATAGTAATCCACCTTCAATTCAACTCCTCCTGGAGCAGACTTACCTTCTGGCAACTTGTTGATGACACCCTTGATGGTTACAGTAGATTCCAAAGTAAGTTCGTGCGTGGCCTTACATTTGGCTAAGTCTCCAGTCAATATACATTGGATGAATCCAGTACCGTCCCTCAAAGTGATGAATCCTAATCCCTTTTGCAATCTCAAACGGTGAATCCAACCCTGAACAACGACTCTTGTACCAATGTTATCCTGTACCGTTCTCAATTTAATTTTTTTAGCCTGAGGAAGCGATTTGTCTTCCTTAATGCTGATCAAGTCCATTTCTGCAAATTTTTTAGCAGCATCATCTTGGTGTTTTTTCTGCTCTTCCTGTAACTTGGCCTGTTTTTCTTGTTTCTTCTTTAATCCTTCTGCCCCCTTCTTGGCCTTTTTCAAGGCTGATGCCGAAATTTCGCCGTAACCAAATTCTTCCGAGTCTTCTAACTGCTTGTAAACCAAAATCTTAGCGTCTTCGTTCTTAAACAATGCAAATGCTGGCGTTTGAAACGGTTGTTGTTCAGATCCGCTGACATCCACGCTGTCAGCCCCTGTCTTCTCGTTAACGTACACTTGAGACATAATTACTCCAATTAATATTAAATAATATAAGAAGACCTGCTAACCTGTGTGATTCATCTCTGAAAAGTCGAAAATTATATTGTACTGACCTTAACTACTAGTGCGGGTAAATTAAGAACTGATAGACATAAACTGTAAATCATCAAAAAAATTTATATTTTTCAGAATTTGCAGGTTACCGGGCGACTTATGGAAAAATAGGTACTCAAACATGATGGATTAGTGTAAAGTGGGTCTTGATTCATAGATAAAAGCATTAAAATGGCTTTAGAACAATCCTTAGCAGCATTATCATTAGCAACTGTTTCATCAGAATCTGCGGTTCCAACCAAAACTTTGGTTTTCAAGCCGAAGACGGCTAAAACTGCTACACCAGTTCCAGTAGTTGTTTTCGCTTTGCAAAGCACACAGACACCATCTCCGGTTATTGCTAAGGCCGCTGGGGTCAAGGAGCCTAGGTTGGCAAAGGACGACTTGGTGACCGAATTCTTCTCTGTTTCGGCCAAGGAAGTGTCAATTGCGAACTTACACAAGGACTTAGCAGGTAAGATTAAGCTTGTTGTCGATGAGAACATCACCAAAGCTTCAGACGATACCGTTTTAGAATTATCTACTGCATCTGCCAAGGCCAGCATTTCCGCAAAGATTCTTAACGAATACATTGCTTCTACAGGCATTGAAGTGGTTTCAGTCGATTTTTCAGCCGAACCAGCTTCCGCCCCAGCTGCTGACACCTCTAAGAAGGATGCTTTGAAGAAGGAAAAGCAAGCAGCCAAGCTTGAGGATGCAAAGTTGATCGGTATCACTGTGGATAAAGCCAAGGATTTCTCTTCCTGGTACTCTCAAATTGTCACCAAAGGTGAAATGTTGGACTACTATGACGTCTCTGGTTGTTACATTTTAAGACCAAACTCTTACTCTGTCTGGGAAACCATTCAAGAATGGTTTAATTTACGTATCAAGAAGATGGGAGTTCAAAACTCGTACTTTCCAATGTTCGTCTCTTCTAGGGTCTTGGAAAAGGAAAAGGATCATATCGAAGGGTTTGCTCCAGAAGTGGCCTGGGTTACTCGTGCTGGTAACTCTGAATTAGACGAACACATTGCTATTAGACCTACATCCGAAACTGTTATGTATCCATACTATGCTAAATGGATTAGATCTCATAGGGACTTGCCATTGAAATTGAATCAATGGAATTCTGTTGTTAGATGGGAATTCAAGCATCCACAACCATTTTTAAGAACCCGTGAGTTCTTATGGCAAGAAGGTCACACTGCTCATTTGACCAAGGAAAGTGCCGCTGAAGAAGTTGACCAAATTTTGGATTTGTATGCTGGTATCTACGAAGAATTATTAGCGGTTCCTGTTGTTAAAGGTAGGAAGACCGAAAACGAAAAATTCGCCGGTGGTGATTATACTACTACTTGTGAAGGTTTTATTGCTGAAACTGGTAGAGGTATTCAAGGTGCCACGTCCCATCACTTGGGAACCAACTTTTCTAAAATGTTTAACATTTCAGTTGAAAACCCAGAAGGTGCCGATAAGCCAAGAGTCCATGCTTTCCAAAACTCTTGGGGTTTATCTACCCGTGTCATTGGTGTTATGGTTATGACCCATTCAGATAATAAAGGTTTAGTCTTACCTCCTCGTGTTGCTCAAACCCAAGTTGTGGTTATCCCTGTTGGTTTGACTGCTAAGACTACCGATGAGCAAAGAAAGGCCATTAATGATGGAGCAGCTAATATAGAACATGTTTTGAAGCAGACTGATGTCAGAGTTACTGGTGATTATAGGGATAACTATTCTCCTGGCTGGAAGTTCTCAAATTGGGAATTGAAGGGTACTCCATTACGTTTAGAATTCGGACCTAAAGATTTAGCTTCTGAACAAGTTACCGCTGTTAGACGTGATAACAGCCAAAAATACTCCGTCAAATTAAACGAATTAGAAAAACGTATCCCAGAAATTTTACAAGAAATGCAAGTTGGCTTGTTAGAGAAGGCTCGTAAAGACTTTGAGGAGCACCGTGTTATGGTGCATGACTGGAAAGATTTTGTTCCAACATTAAATGCTAAGAATGTCATCGTTTCTCCTTGGTGTGGTGATGCTGATTGTGAAGACGATATCAAGGACTCCTCTGCTAAGAAAGATGATGGTGAAGAAGAAGAGGTCGATGAAAAGTCACCATCTATGGGTGCAAAATCATTATGTATTCCATTTGACCAACCAGAATTAAAGTCAGGCCAAAAGTGTGTTAAGTGTGATAGGCCAGCCGTGAATTACTGTATGTTCGGTAGATCGTATTAGACTTGTAATTATAATAAGGAAATGATTAAATAGGTGTATTAATTAATAAACAGTTGTATATAATCATTTGTATTGGTCCCAAAATTTTGACTTATCTAGCTCCAGAACTAATTCACGTCTAGTAACCGTCTTCATATTGTCATCCAAATCCAAATAATAGATGTAGTCTAGTTTGAGTACATCCCTAGCATATTCCCAAGTCTTATGAAAGTTCAAACCAACTTGTGCTATCGAGTGTGAGTCGTCAGAAAGACAAAATTTACCATTTCCATACTTCAATATGGCACCACATATGTCCTTTTTAGGATAAGGTGAGGACCATCCTTTGCGTATAGCTGCTGAGTTTAATTCAAATAACCCTCCATAGGCATTTATAAATTTCACATTGCGAGTTATTGATTCCCATACATCTGGCCAATCGCTTTCAATATTGATATCTTTAAGGGGCTTATTTGTGGTTTTATCTATTTCATTTGTAGGCTCAAAAAGACGAATCAAATCGAAATGGCCTATCACTGGTGGTTTTAGTGTCAGAACAACTTTGTACTGGAGGTCAAAATAAGCTTTATACAAAGATCTTGTTGTCTTATCTACAGTCGAGTCTCGTGCTTCGTTCCACAATTCTGATGAAAAATCAATAGGTATATGGTTGACATAATGCACTGATCCCACTGACATGTTCACGTACGGATTCTCCTTTATAATCGTTTTGGAACTATACTCAATATGCGATTCATCTATGCCTTCGACTTCAAACCCAATTAATATCTTCATACCACCTTCCGCATTATACTTGTCTTGTAATTCCTTAGCATGCTCTAAATAACGTTTAAAGTCATCATCTAACTCTCTAATAGAGTAATTCTTCTCTATCTCTTCTGGATAAAGAAATTTATTTTCCAACCGGGGCATATGCTCTGTAAGACAAAAATGAGTAAACCCCATCGATTGAGCTTTGCTGACTATGGATTCTAAATCATCTATGGCATGTGATACGTATGTACCACTATGTGAATGATGGGAATGCATGTCTTTATATAGCTATGGAGTATAATATTGCAACATTCTTTATCATGTTAATAATGGTTATAAAGATGCCCACCATATACAGGATGATATAATTAAGACCAGAAATTTTTCAGTTCAACCAGATAAGTACTTCTTACCAACCGTCATTAGGTGGGATGAGGATACTTAATGCAAGCTATAGTCGGATGCCATCAAGATGTGCATCGTTAAATTTTAGGTCTTACTTTAGTAGCTTAAAGCCTACCATTAAAGACTTATTCATATCACCTCCCAGTATCGAGTCCACCATATCAACCCAAGGGCATATTAAATCTATCCGTCAGTTTAAGAATATAGGATTTATTGATTTATCAGATGGAACCACATTTCATAATTTGAGTGTCGTTTTGCAAGACCCGGAATCAACGCTTTCTGAATTGCATTTGAAAGTGGGCCAAAGTATCAATGTCGCTGGAAAATGGATTGAATCTAAAGGAACTCAAAACTATGAACTTTTATATAATCCTGAGGCAAATGACCATAATCTTCAAGTTATAGGAGATGTAGAGGATGCATATCCCATTCAAAAGAAATCGCAAACGTACCAATTCCTAAGAGGATTGCCAACTCTAAGACATAGAACTGCATCATTAGCATCCATTTTACGATTCAGATCATTTATGGAAACTAAATTAATGGAATTTTTCAATAGTCAGAATTTCACAAAGACAACACCACCGTTGATTACTAGTTCTGATTGTGAAGGAGCTGGTGAACAATTTAAAGTCGAGCAGTTGCATAAAAAAGAAGTTGTTGTTGATGGTGCCGTTCAAGAAGAGCATTTCTTTGGGAAACCAGCCTTCTTGACTGTTTCCACTCAACTTCATCTTGAGGTATTGACGTTATCTTTGAATAGAGCTTGGACTTTGACCCCGTGTTTCAGAGCAGAAGATTCTAATACAAATCGTCATCTAAGTGAATTCTGGATGTTAGAGGCAGAAATATGCTACATCGACCACGTTAGCCAATTAACTGACTTTACAGAGGACATGATAAGATATGTCACAGGCGCATTGAAGTCCGAAGCTATAAACGAACAATCTAGTGGCGATTCAAACGATTTGCTAAGTTCTAGATTCAAGAAAGAAGAACTCGAGACCTTGAAAAACAGGTGGGACACAATCTTGGCACCTCAAAAATGGCCTTCTATAACATATTCTGAGGCCATTGATATCATTAACAAGGTCAAAAATAAAAATAGACTGAAAAATCGCTTAACTTGGGGTGACGACATCCAGACTGAACATGAAAAATGGCTTGCTGGTACTTATTTTCAGTCTCCGGTATTTATTACAGACTACCCAAGATCTCAAAAGCCATTTTACATGCCCAAGTCTCATCCAAATGTGTACAACCCGGAAAGGTCCACTGTTGCGTGCTACGACTTGATTTTACCAGAAATAGGGGAGCTAGTCGGTGGTTCTATGAGAGAACATGACTACAACAACCTAGTAGAAGAAATGACAAGAAGAAATATGAACTTAAAGGAGATGGACTGGTATTTATCAACAAGACTTAATGGAACAGTTCCGCATGGTGGTTTCGGTATGGGCTTTGAGAGATTACTTTCCTATCTTGGTGCAATGGAAAACGTTAAGGATGTCATCCCATTTCCTCGTGTTCCCCAATCATGTACCTGTTAATAGCTATCAGCAAATAGATCTACTTGTATATACTCTTATAGATTGATTATATAATATGGGACATAAATCAAGACCTGCATATATTCTTGCCTTCAAAATTTTTGCGTTCTCGTCGAGCCTGCTAAAGCAATACTAACAGTTTCATTTAACGTTATCTTCAAGATATATTTCAAGAAATAAAACAGTTATTAGTAAAATGGACCAATTAAATGTTAAGGAACAACAAGACTTTCAACAAATCGTTGAACAAAAGCAAATGAAGGACTTTATGAGATTATACTCAAACTTAGTCTCCAAATGTTTCGATGACTGTGTCAACGACTTTACATCTAACAACTTAACCACCAAGGAAACTGGCTGTATCACCAAATGTTCTGAAAAGTTCTTAAAACACAGTGAAAGAGTTGGCCAAAGATTCCAAGAACAAAAGTAAGTAATTTTTCGAGTCGAAATAATAGGATATGGAGATGCCACCTCGTAAATTTTCAGAGAAACGAATACTAACCCATTTTAGTGCCTTATTGATGCAAAATATGCAAAAACGTTAGTGATGGTTTGTGTTTGTTTGGGCATAAAGCCCATTATGAAAATAAAGACAGATTTCATGTAGATGAAGTCATATAACGAACTTTTTCTTTCTGTTCTTTCAAGTAATGAATGGAACACTCTTTATACTTATTGTACATATTTAGTCTTGACATAATACAAATGTTATTCTGGTTATCAATGAACCTATTATAGAGTCTGTAATGTAGGTGCTTACATCTTAGGTATTAGAATGCTAGCTTACACAAAATTAATTTTCATTTAATTCATTAATCAAAGCATATCTAGTAAACAAGGCTAGATATCAATACATATAATGGCTGCTATAGAATCACTTGATAAAGATCTTGTACTGATAATTATAGCATCCACTGTCAACAGCTCTGTTAAAGAGTTGAAGGATCTTACAGGCCAATCAACCGTTGAATTGAGCTTAGATGCATTTTTGACAAAAATGAATGAATTGATTGTGGACTATAGTGAAGCATTCAGCCTGACTCCCATAGATGCTAAGGTAGATAAATTAGCATTGATTGCGTTAATAAGAGAAAGAAAATTTGCAGATTTTGTTGAAGTATCAGGCGACATATTAAAAATCGAAACAAATGCTAAAGCATTTCAAGCCATATTGAGCAATATAGCAGTGACATCTACATTGAACTATGCCAAGCTCCTTATTAAGAATATTGATGACTTAGGAATTATATATAGAAGCTCTATGGATAAAGCAGGTGCGGTAGAGTCAGAAGAAGGTGAACATGATAATTCTCTGCAAGATACCACCAATATAGAGAAGTATACCATAGAAGAAGAAATCGGAAGTGGGGAAGTTCAAGAGGATACTGAAATCAATCAAGAAGCAACGCAAGAAGTTGAATCTGAAAAGGCCGAAGAGCAAGATATAGAAGCGGAAGATGTCCAAGAAGAAGATAAAATTGGACTAGACGTAGAAGCAGACCATGACCATAATGAACAGGATGTTGAAGACATAGAAGAGCACAAGAATGAATTGGATAAAGAACAAACAGAAAACATAGGACTTGGAGAGCAAGGAGACAGCATAGAGAAAGAACAAGCTGAAAACGAAGATGAAAATCCAAACGAACCACAAGACAAACAAGAACAAGAAGAAAAGGAAGAAAAACAAGAAGAAGGAAAAGCAAAGGAAACGGAAGAGAAGGAAGAAAAAGAAGTAGAAGCAAAAGAAGAGGAAGAACGAGAAGAACACGAAGAAGGACAAGAAGAGCAAAAAGAACAAGAACAAGAAGAACAAGAAGAGCAAGAAGAACAAGAAGAGCAAAACGAACAAGAAGAGCAAAACGAACAAGAAGAGCAAAACGAACAAGAAGAGCAAAACGAACAAGAAGANGAACAAGAAGAGCAAAACGAACAAGAAGAGCAAAACGAACAAGAAGAGCAAAACGAACAAGAAGAGCAAAACGAACAAGAAGAAGATCAAGAAAAGCATGATGATCAACATGAAAAAGAAGAAGAGAAATTGGAGCTGAACTTGGAAGAGAAACAAGATCAACAGGAAAATAAAGATGCAAAGAAAGATAAAGGTGAACAAGGCAATGCTACCCCAGTTGATTCGAAAAATAATCTTCAAACCCCCGAACCTAAATTACCTGATGGTACTAAAGAAGAATTACGTTCTCAGTCATCTAGAAAGCGTTCACGGTCATTATCAGTATCCACTCCTCAGCAACACAAAAGGTTCCAACACATTGCTGTTAATTTGATAAATAACATACAGGCCCATAGATTTTCATCTCCTTTCTTGCAAGCAGTTAATACCAAAGAGGCACCAGATTATCATGAGGTAATTTATGAACCAAAGGACTTGAAAAACATTTTGAAATCCATTAAGCTGAAGAACGATCCTCCAGAATATCAACTGATCAAACAATTAAAAAGAGATATTATGCTAATGTTAGCTAATTGTATTATGTATAATAAGTCTGACACAGATTTAGTTCAATTAACCAAAAGCATGAAAAATGACGTGAATAATATATTCAAATTATTCGAAGAGGCTGAACTGGATACTAAATAATTTCATTTCTTAATTAAATATATGTATAATAATAATAATAATAATAGTAATACGTCAAACGTTATTACAAATGCTTATCGTAATTCACCTTGGTATAGATCAGCGCTTTTTCTGGCTCTTCAATAATATCTTTATTAATTATGACTGAATCTGATACGGAATGCTTCCTTTCTCTCAATTGAAGATATCTTATAAGAAGGACGGCCATTATGCTGCTAATACAGGTTGCCAACATTGCCCAACATCCTTTTCTAAATTTTGGAGCATCAGTTGCAACATAAAATAAAAGCGACCACCACGCATTAACTGCATTACTAAACATATTCATAGATCCTAATACAATTGATCTTTCTTCTAAATCATCTTGACAAACAATATTAGCCCATGCAAAGAAAGTTGCTTGCCCAGCGTATGAAATGCCAGAAAGATAGTGAGCTACAAAAACATAGCTGGCAGATAGCGGTCTTAATATAAGTAGAATAGTCGAAATAATCATACTGATTGCAATCACTATTCCAATTCTCCAATGATATCGTGCATGTGTGCCATCAATATAAACTGCAAAAGCAAATGTGGCAAGCACACCTATAGCATATACGCCCATGGGGTAATGATTTCTATGAGGAACCGTATAATTAAAGTATTGCAACCAAATTGCAAATAGTGAATTACTACCAAATGACTCATTTTCACCTCCTAATATCCATAAGATGGAAAATAGCCACCAGTGCCATCTTCCTAATACCCTCTTAAATATGGACCAATCGAGCTTTGTGTGAGGCCTTTGGTGTACTCTACGTTTAGCTAATTGAATTTCCTTTTCACTGAAATAAAATGCTGTGCTAATCTCAGGTGTATCGGGAAAAAAAAAGAACCCATATATAGCTATAGGAACTGTTATAATAAAGTCAATAATAAATAACCATCTCCAACCAGATATACCATTAAGATCATGCATATTTGTGTAAATGGCACTTTGCATCGTACTGGAAAAAATATTACCTATAAGTCCTGCGGAGGTGAATATAGCACTTCTTTTCGTGAGTTCCTCCTCTTTATACCAAGACCCTAGAATCAAGTGGACCCCAACAAAGGTTGAACTTTCAAATGCTCCTTGAAAAAATCGAATTGCATATATTTGCCGGTAAGAGGTCACCTTGTATATACCCAAAGTCAATAAACCCCATGCGATTGCACAGAAGGTCAACCAGTACCGTGGCCTTATTTTCAACAAGATCAAGTTATTTGGAATTAAAAAAACAATGTACCCAATATTGAAACATGTGTTTATTATATTGAATTCGTTTCCTTCCATCTTCAAATCTTCTTTCATACCTGAAACATATGCGTTGGAAATGTTCAATCTGTCAACATAATTCACCCAGTATAATAGACAGGCAAATGATAACACAAACCAATCAATTTTGACTAGTAACCTTGCTTCGTCAGGATCATCGGGTGTTTTACCCCAGAGTACAATTTTCACTTTTCGAAGTATTGAACTCATCAAAAATGGTTCTCTAATAAATAAATATCTTTCTTATTTGAGAATGTTAGCGACTAACTTGCTATATCATTACTGGTTATTACTACACCGAAAGATGTAGATCTTAATTTACCTCTATTTCTAATCTTCTTAAATCCATCAAATTTTTTTTTATGCGGCGCTCGTATAAACTACTCATAGACTTGTTAGACGTTGAACATTATGACATGAGATTTCAACATTATCTTGTCGGATTGTATACGCTTAAATGAACTACTGAACATCGTACATATTATACTAATTGATTTCCTAAGACTGTAGAAAATTTGAATTGTATGACCCAAATGAACTTCGTGGCTTGCATGAGTATACCCTTAGTTACCCGTAGGTTTAAAGAAGTGATTTACAAATTCAATAATATTTTCTTTATTCTGGGACGTCCTTTACAACATTTCTCTTACGTAAATATGTATTCAATGGTATTCATATATCTTACATATTTTATCGATGCCTGAAATTTTCCGAATCTCACTACTGCAACTTTTTTCAAAAAAGCCCAGATACATCTAATATAAGTTGTGTTCTTGAAGTACTTTAAAAATTCTATTCAAAACGAAGAACATTACTAGTGGATTTTGCAGAATGGTGTCTACTGTACTGAAATCCCATTTTGTTAAACAAACGTCTTTCAGCGTAGAATATGCGCCAGCTCATATTACTAAATGGAGATCAGAAAGAACAGGATTACAGGTCACTTATATTGATCAGCCTTCACCAGTGGTAAATGGCTATTTTGCCGTCGCTACAGAGATCCCGGACAACTCAGGGTGTCCTCATACTTTGGAACATTTGATTTTTATGGGTTCCAAGAAATTCCCATACAAAGGTTTGTTAGATAACCTTGGTAATAGATTTTTCTCTTCTACTAATGCTTGGACATCAGTGGACCAAACGGTATATACATTAACTACTGCAGGCTGGGAAGGGTTTAAAACGTTGCTTCCTATCTATTTGGATCATTTGTTTAACCCTACCTTAACAGATGAAGCCTGCTTAACCGAGGTGTATCATATTGACGGAAGCGGTAAAGAAAAAGGTGTTGTTTTCAGTGAGATGCAAGGAATTGAAAGTCAATCGTGGTTTATCTCATTCTTAAAAATGCAACAGACCTTATATGCTAAAGACTCGGGATACTCATCGGAAACAGGTGGGTTGATGTCTGAGTTACGCCATCTTACGAATGATCAAATCAAAGAATTTCATAAATCGATGTATAGGCCGGATAACTTATGTGTTGTTATTACCGGTTCAGTCGATGAATCAGAATTATTACATGTAATGGAGGATTTTGACAATGAATTATCCCCATTGCCATCAGTACCAAATAAGAGGCCATTCGTTGACTCAAAGCACGACTTACCCTTGACAGAATCTATCATTAAAGAAGTAGCATTTCCTGATAAAGATGAATCCATGGGAGAATTGTTAATAGCGTGGATTGGGCCAACCGCAGACGAAACTGTTGTCAATGTTGCCTTAGATATGGTTGGCTCATTTTTCACTGATAGTGCCATTTCTTTATTCAACAAGCACTTAGTTGAAATAGAAAACCCTATGGCTACCGAAATTGATTACAGCACAGATGACTATATTAGAACTGGATTGAACTTTACTGTTAGCGGAATCCCTACTGATAGGTTATATGAAGTCGATCTTAAAATCAAAGAATTAATTCAAACCCAAACTGATCCAAAAACCTTAGACCTAGATTACTTGAAGCAAATCTTGAATCAACAAAAATTAAAGTTTGTTTTTGCGACTGAAAAGTCCCCAAGCACTTTTTCAAATATTGCAATTTCAGAATTCATTTATGGTAAGACTGATGGTTCTGATTTGAGCAAATGGAGTAAAGATTTAAGAGAATATGAGATATTAGAAGGTTGGACTGCAGACCAATGGTGTGCATTAATTAAGACATACTTCGTGAATAACAAGTCGGCTACTATCTTAGGCAAACCATCAGCAAGATTGAACACATTACAAAAGCGTGAAAATAAGGAACTTTTGAAAAACATTAGGGAGAAGTATGGTAAGGATGGGTTGAAGCATTTGGCTGATAATTTAGAAAAGGCTCAGGAAATAAACGATACACCTATTCCTGACTCTATCTTAACCCAATTTGGTAAACCTGACCCATCAAAAATTTCTTTTATTAAAACTAATTCGTATAGAAGTGGCTCCAATAATATTGAAACTGATTATATCAAAGAAAATTCTTTTGATGAATTATTGAAGAAAGATTGTCCAGAAAATTTCCCTATGTTTTTCCACCTTGAGGACTTTAAATCTCAATTCACAACTATAAACTTGGTTATGTCTTCGACTAAAGCTGATCCAGCGTTGTTACGTTACATGTCAATTTTGGAGGAAGTATTCTCATTTCCAATTAAATTACCATCAGGCGAATATATTCCTTATGAGGAAGTCATTTCTAAAATTAATGATGATTTGATCGAATACCAATTAGATAATGGTTTTGACAGTCAATTTTTAGAATTAATCAACGTTAAAGTCAAATTTGAGACAAAGAATTATAACAAAGCAATTGAATGGTTATTATACGTTTTAAAGTATTCTGTTATTGAACAATCTAGAATTAAAATTATTATCGAAAAAATTATCAACTCTTTGCCAGACAAGAAAAGAAATGGCGAATTGATGATGTATTCTTCTCAATACAGAACATTATTTAATGATTCTTCATTAAGGAGGGCTCAAGATTGTCTTAATACAGAAGAGTTTTATAAGGACTTACTTCAGAAGATTAACGATGGAAACTTTCATGAAATCGAGCAAGATTTAAACAACCTAAAGAATCAGCTTTTCAATTTGAATAATTTCAAGATATTTGTTGTTGGTAATTCCAGTTCATTATCGACACCGATTTCTTCATGGACTGAATTTGCTAAAGGTTTTAAGGACAACAACATGTACGCGTTGGAACCTTTTGAAAAGATGCCTCGCTCATTCCAATTCAAATCTGATATTGGTGTCAAATGTTCTGAAGACGCCTTTATAGTCACCACTCCGGCTACTGAATCAACTCATTTAATTTCATCAACACCAATTCCAACTGATTACTTGGACAAGGATATTTTTAAAATAGCTTTAGCAAGTGAATTTTTAACTGCGGTTGAAGGTCCTTTCTGGAGAGGTATCCGTGGTGTAGGTTTAGCATACGGCGCTAGTATTCGTCGTAATATTGAAACTGGTTACTTGAACTTTTCGATTTACAGAGGTGCCGATGCTGAACAGGCATGGCTTACCGGTAAAAAGATTGTTGACGATTATAGTAATGGTACTTTGAAGTTCGATACTGTTAGTATTGAGAATGCAGTTGCAGCGATTGTGAATGAGTTAGCAAATGGTGAATCCAATAATTATGATTCCGCCAATTGCAAAATATCTGATAATCTTTTCAAGGGAAGAGGACCAAACTACGGTAACCTTTTCTTGAAGGAGTTAAACAAGTTGACTGCAGATGACTTAGTATATACTACAAAGAAATACTTCCAACCTTTATTTGATGCTAAGCGTTCCGTTTTATTTACTTGTTTACCTCCTGCTAAGGCTGAGAGCTTTCAGAAGTTTTTAGGTGATCAAGGTTATAAGACTACAATCGAAGAAATTAATGCTGATGTTGAACACGACTGTGAAAGTTGTAATAGTAATGAAGAAGAAAGTGAAGAAGAAAGTGAAGAAGAAAGTGAAGAAGAGAGTGATGATGATGCTATGGTGACTGATAAATAAATAATAGATTATAGATTTAATTAGAATATTTCAATTTCGCAAAAAAGTTATCAATATATGATTGCAACATTAATTTTGCAACTTTGGTTAGTGAAAAATACACCACAGCCGAAAATAATAGACGAATCGTTAAAGATCAACAAAGCCCATGGCGTAAATGAATAGGACTTGTCATATTACTGACGCATTACTCAAGTGATTATTAATGTTTCACACCATTCTTAATAGGTTTCTTCAGTATATGGAATTTTGGAACACAAATTCAAAATTGCGACTTTTCTAGGATGTCGTGTAGTATTATTAAACTTGATTTGAGCTACAGCTGAATTAAAATTGGAAATCTCCTACTAGCTGGTAATTTCTGGTTAGCTTTCGTGAAAGCCTCCTGCTGATGTATATTACTAAGAAAAACGGATTCCCTAATAAAAAAAATAATGATATTATAAAATACTGCATATAAGCCTATTGATATCAGAAAGTCAATTCTTGCCACTAGTTAAAATGGCAAAAGATGCAAAACTACCATAATACTTCTTATAAGAAGAAGCTTATAGTGAATGATGGGATACGGTTTACAATTTGAGTTGAAGGTGGCGGCTGGATCAAATTTACCTCGGTATTCTGATCGAGCCATTCTCCCTCCGTCGGTTTTGTCATCAATCGTTGATACCTACAGCGAGTCGAGTTTACCCCATCCACTAATATTTAGAGCCTGGCATAATAATAATTCTTGTTACATTGGGGTTAAAGAGTTCTCGTCAAATGAAGGTGAGATATTCTTGCCTCACATTATCACCGATAAAATAGGAGCGGAAAAAGATGATGTTGTAAGAGTCGAATTAGTTAATAATATTCCGAAAGGTAAATCATTAACATTGAAACCATTACAGTTTTATCCCCAAATTCACAACTGGAAGTTTTTTCTTGAATCTAAATTGACGAACTTCTATACTACATTGACTAAGAATAACGTACTTTATATTGAAGATGGACCTACTGTTTATGAGTTATTTGTTGAAGGTGTTGATGAATCATTAGATACAATTGGCATTATAGATACTGATGTTATTCTTGACGTCATTCCGTTAAATGATATAATGGCAAACCAGCAACTAGAGTTTAATAAGAATTTCAATCATGTAGATTCCAATAATATTAATGAACTTTTTTTGAATGATGAAGTGAAGATAATGGATTTAAAACCTTTTACATCTAGCGATTTCCGACCACAGGTCTACAAATTGGATCTTTCAAATTATGACAAATCAAAACCCTTGACAGTAAAAATTACTAGTTTGAATCATGATTATTCATCTCTCTTTAATCTTGATTTAGTCGTTGGTTTGGATAAGTTAGTAAATTTGGAAAACTTTCGATGGACTACCATGAATGACGATTTTGATTTGCAATTTAAATTAGACAACAATATGGCAAATACATACGAAAAGATAATAACTATAAACATGCAACAGAATGACGAACTTTTGACAAAGATTCATAAAATCAATGATGATATATCCGATCATTTTATATACATTGTGCCATTTACATGGGAATTGAACGGGAACTTTACGCTATCCATAACAAACGAACATAACAGTCTCAAAGATTCTACAGCCTTCGACCATAATCATGATACATCTGATACTGTTAAATGTTCGAATTGTAACAAAGCAATATCCAAAGATAAACTTTTGCTTCACGAATCGTTCTGCTTGAGAAATAATGTCAAATGTTCTTGTGGTTTGGTATTTTTAAAGGAAATTCCTACAAGCCATTGGCATTGTGACAAATGCAACGATTCCGCAAAATATGGAAATTCGTCGTTGCTTAAGTTCAAGCACGATAAGTTGTTTCATGAAGCGTCTTATAAATGTAATCAATGCTCTAGCACCGCAGCATTTAATGATTTTATAGACTTAGTCATTAACCACAAGGCACTTGTATGTCCCGGGAAACTCCACGAATGTCAGTTCTGTTTTTTGATAGTACCACAAGGAGAGTCCACATTTCAAGATAAAGTAGCCAATCTAACAAATCATGAAAACACTTGCGGCAACAAGACCACCGAGTGCTTTAAGTGCAATAAAATACTAAGAACAAAAGACTTGTCCAAACACTTGAAGATGCATGATCTCGATAAGGTACAGATGAACCAGAATACTAAAATCAATTTTAACAAGTGTCTGAATGAGAATTGTATTATAATAATCAAGGATAACACAAGCAACCAGCTAGGACTCTGTGATTACTGCTTTGGCTCAATATATACCCCCCAGCATGATCCTACCAACATTAAACTCCAGAGCAGAATCGAGAGGAGGTATATGATCCAATTAACGAGGGGATGTGGCTTTGTCTGGTGCAAAAATATCAATTGCAAAACCCACAATCCTACCCGTTTCGCAGGTATGTCCCACAAAGAACTTCTAGCCTACATCAACGACTCCTTATTCTCCAGCATCCGCACTCCCGGATTTCCAGTCAACAAGAATAAACCATCTCCCCCCGGAAACAGGCTATGGTTCTGTGTTAATGAGTCAATTCAACTGCGCAAGGACATCCTAGATCTCTTATCTTCCGAGGACGAGTACGACGAAGAACTAATTTACAAGCCCATCAATGAGTTATCTGTCGTAAATGAAGGCTCAGTGAGGGACTGGCTTCTTCATAATGGCGTCAGAAAAACCTAGGCTCCACCAATGTCCTATTTTGGTAATAAGCTACCTTTTCTACTTACCACTTTAGATATATATAGACTACATGCTCAATAAAATAACTATAATTACCCGACTTTGTTTATCATTCGACAAACCTTCAAATTACCTCTACACGCATCAAGACCTCCGAGAATGCACTTGTACCTCTTATCCGCCATCCACACTTCAATCTAGGAAGGTTTTAATAGGCCTTTGCTTATCAGTGATGTATTCTCATATCACACGACTTTGATTAGTAGATTACACAAAATTAAAAGTATGGCTGGACTTGGGCCTCAAACGGTTTCAGATAAATTACTTATCGCCACTATATCCCTTTTCTACGATAAACTAGATTATCTTCGTTAGTATTGTACTTATTATACTATTATACGTTACAATTACTTATACAAACTACTCAAATAAAGAATAAACTCATAAATAAATAAAAAAATATGTTATTATCAAGATCCGTTGCTATTTCCATTTTGGCTACCTTGGGGGTTCAAGGTTTAGTCATTCCATCAGTAGATGAAGTCATTGATGTCTTTGGTAAAAATAACGAAAAGGGGGTTGTGTCAAGCAATAATGCATTAGGGCAAGCTGCGAGCAGTGTAGCTTCTAGCTTAAATGTGAATTTATTATCGGTCAAGGAGGCAGCGCCAGTGGTCAATGCCGAGTCGGTCAGAGATATCATTCCAAATAAATATATTGTTGTTTTCAAGGAAGGATTGAGTGCAGACGAGATCCAATTCCACCAAGAGTGGGTTGCTGCTGAACATGCTAATTTGATGGGTAACTTGGGCGAAAACGATCCATTTATGCATGCTATCAAAGAGTTGGATATCGCAGGCGGTATCCTGGACTCCTTCAATATCAACAATTTGTTATCTGGTTACACCGGGTTTTTCAACGAGGCTACTATTAACATGATTCGTCGCAACCCATTGGTTAAGTTTGTTGAGAAGGACTCCATGGTCCATGCATCTGAATTTGACACCCAAAAGGGAGCACCATGGGGTTTAGCCAGAGTGTCCCATAGAGAACCATTAAGTTTGAACTCATTCAACCAATATCTTTACGATACTGAAGGTGGTAAGGGTGTTACTGCTTATATTATTGATACTGGTGTCAATGTTGACCATGACGAATTCAAGGGCAGAGCCAAATGGGGTTCCACCATCCCTGAGGGAGATGCGGATGTCGATGGTAATGGACACGGTACCCATTGTGCTGGTACTATTGGATCCAAAGCTTATGGTGTTGCCAAGGGTGCAAACCTTGTTGCGGTCAAGGTTTTAAGATCCAATGGGTCTGGTAGTATGTCTGATGTTGTCAAGGGTGTTGAATTTGCTACCAAGGCACATTTAGAAGCTGCCAAGGAAAATAAGAAGGGATTCAAGGGTTCCACCGCTAACATGTCATTAGGTGGTGGTAAATCCCCAGCATTGGACTTGGTTGTTAATGCAGCTGTTAAGGCTGGTATTCATTTTGCTGTTGCCGCTGGTAACGAAAACCAGGACGCATGTAACACATCTCCAGCCAGCGCTGAGAATGCCATCACTGTTGGTGCTTCTACCATTGCTGACGCAAGAGCTTACTTCTCCAACTACGGTAAATGTGTTGACATTTTCGCCCCTGGTTTGAACATTTTGTCCACATACATCGGTTCTAACTCCGCTACTGCTACCTTATCTGGTACATCCATGGCCTCTCCACATATCTGTGGTTTATTGTCCTACTATCTCTCTTTGCAACCAAGTGGCGACTCTCAATTCGCCATGTCGGGTAGCGGTGTATCTCCAAGCCAATTGAAGAAGAACTTGATCCACTATGGTTCCAAGGGTGTCTTAAGTGATATTCCAGATGATGGCACTCCTAACATCTTAGCTTTCAACGGTGCAGGCCATAACTTAACCGAATTCTGGAACGACGCTGAGCAACAACAAGTTTCTGACAAAGAAGCAAAGCTTTCCACCAAACTTTCTAATTTCGAATCCAAAGTCGAAAAGTTGATTTATAAAGCTGAACACGAAAGTAAAGGCTTATATGATGATATTAAGAATTTAGTTGAAGATGCCTACAAGAATTCCAATTAGATGAATATGGGGTTATTTTCCTTTTATTTTCTGTCTTTTTCCCTTTTATTTAGCTTTATATTACAATTTGATTATCAGAATCCTTTAATCATCTCTATTTATCTATACCTATCATGTCTACTCCCTACGATTTGCCGTTGTTTTAATACATAAATGATTTTATTCATCTTGTCTCGATCACTATGTGCAGAATTATGCCTAAAATTACGTTTCAAGAAGTACGAGTTTAAATGATAAACTAGTGGCAATATAGACAAATATCTCCAGTCCATTCATTACCAATTTTAGGTTTCGGGCTTTACATTACATGAATTATACTTAGATACTCTGATTGATATATTATAGAAGAAGTTATAAATGTCCACGCCAGCTAAAAGAAGACTTATGCGTGATTTTAAGGTACGTCGATGCTTAATAATTTTTAAAACATCGGATCAATACTAACGTAGTATAGCGTATGCAACAGGATGCGCCGAGTGGGGTCTCTGCCTCTCCTTTACCAGACAATGTTATGAGCTGGTAAGTATATTATTTGAAATTAAGTTGAAAAATCGGATTACTAACAAAATATAGGAATGCAGTTATCATAGGTCCGGCCGATACGCCGTTTGAAGATGGTACATTTCGATTAATCCTACAATTTGATGAACAGTATCCAAACAAGCCACCGTCGGTTAAATTTATTAGTGAAATGTTCCACCCAAATGTTTATGCATCAGGCGAATTGTGTTTAGATATTTTGCAAAATAGATGGTCGCCTACATATGATGTCTCGAGTATCTTAACATCCATCCAGTCGTTACTAAACGACCCCAATATAAGCTCTCCTGCAAATGTGGAGGCAGCCAACTTGTATAAAGATCATAGATCCCAATATATTAAGAGAGTGAGAGAAACAGTGGAAAACAGTTGGAACGAAGATGATGAAGATGAAGACGAAGATGAGGACGAAGATATTGATGACGCTGAGTAAATGTGCATAACACTAGAATCATTATGTGTTGTATATATATTAAATAAACATATTCTATTTACAGAGTTATTTTAACCATAAGTAATACCACTTGCGGGACAGTTTCTTTTCGTCGTCGAGTTTTTTTAAAAGTTCATATTCTAGTTGTTCTTGTCTGGCTTGTCTTTGCTTTTCGTATTCATCCTCAATGATAACCTCTGCGGGTCTGAATTCTTCGCCGTAGTTTTTGTCTCTGTAGATTGCAAGCATGGATATAAATATAGTCAAATAAATAAAGAACTTTGAAACGCCATCTACTCTTTTGAAATCAAATTGCTTAGTTCTAACAGGTGTTAGGGATAATATCACAGGGGGGTTTATCTTATTAATCTTCGTGGTATTTGTTGGCTTCGTAGTTTTCACTTTACTCGGTATATGAAATGGTAAATCGTACGGTGCTTCATTAGTATTCCAATTTTTAAAATCGTCCCTAACACCCCAGTCTCCAAAGTAGATGTAGTATCCTAATTTTTTGTCTTCTAACGTCAACTTTGTCCATTTCAGGTCAAATTTAACTTGTAATTCCTTCAATACTTGTCCTTGATGGAGTAAGCTTAAACTACCAAACAATTTTGGATTTTGAAAAACGGGTTTGGTGTCAATCGGTTGAGTAGCATCGTCAGACGAAGACGAAGAAAAAAGACCACCTAAATCTTTAATAGATTGCATAGCTAATTCAGCAGCTTCTTTTTTAGCTTGTTCTGGACTCTTTTCTTCCTTCTTGACATTTTCAGTGGACGTAGAATATCTAAAATGAGTGAATTTAAATATCCTTGGGTTTATAATCCCATACCTCAAGGTGGACCTACCGACTATCATAGAATTCATTATGGCAAATAGGCTTCTTATGCTTAGAGTTTCAATATAATACCTTCAATGTTGTATGGTGAAAATCACGTTAAAAATTGAGATCCCTTAATAATTCTCATCAAGATTCGAACCAGGGGCACTTTTATTGGAATTAATTCCTTACGTAGCTTATACAAATAATAATGGGGAAAGTAGGTCTGTAATCAAACAAATGACGGTGCTTTCTAGGTCAAAGAGTATCTAGGTCAATAATTACATATGCTTAAAAAGATTTAGTTTTATATTCTAAAGTTTATATGTATTACATAATTCTATTCATAAATCTTCCCATTGCAATCATAGGTGCACATACAGCTTTCACCATCATGCACAATGCATCAATTAAGAGACTCAATTCATAAAGGAGCCATAAAAAGATCACTAACTCAATCATTATAACTAATGTCTGCAAGTTTGGAAAATTCATAGCAATAATATCAATGGGTGCAAAAATAATTCTCATTATTTTAATATTCTTAATGAGAGTGTTTAAATTTGAAATGATAGCAACCGGGCCTTTTGATGAGTCCAAGATTGATTGTCTTCTCTGTTTGCTAAACCTGGTTTGAGGGTATAAGGACGAAAATGAGGTGGGTGGATTTTTTTGCAACTGCCTACTAGTAGGATCATAGTATAGTTCCTCATCTACATAGCTTTCTTCGTCATTTCCATCATCAATTTCGATAATAAACTCTTGGGACAGATCATCAAGCAATCCTGGAGGAGCAGCAATTACTGAGCCTCCCAGGTTCCTCATTAAGGCCATCTGGTTCCGAGGCATTTGCCCATTATTAAATAATGCAGAAGCTGGCTGACCCCATCTGTTTGCCACGCCTTTATAGTTTTTCTTTATATTTCTCATGTCGAATTTGACCGCATCTTTATTCATGCTCTGTTTCATTTTTGATCTGAAGTTATTATTAGCTATTGGTTCCTCTTGATACGCTGGTGCTTCTGTTTGATCATACACCAACCAAGATAGTATATAATTCCATAGAGGGTGAAATTCTGGACCGGTACTTGAAGCGGCACCTAAATTGCCTATCTCCCTCGGTTCTTCTGGTTCAAGCACTATTGGTTCAGCTGTTGGAATATCATCTATCTTGCCATTAGGATAATTAAGATTATTGGAATAATCTTTACCTAATTGTTTTGAAGCTTTCTTCAACTTTCTTTTCCATACATTTTTAAAGTTCTTATTTTTCTTCAATTGCTTCCTTTCTTCTTCCGTCAAGTATATTTTATTATTCAAGTCATTTTCGTCGTCATCATTGCCAGTGTTAGTGGCTGTTGCATTAATAAATACATCCCTCCTTTCGCTGGGAGATATATTTCTATTTTTGTAATAATCGTAATCGTTGTAGTTGTCTTTACCTAGTTTAGTCTGTATTGTTTTAAAAGCTCTCTTAATTCTCTGACTTTGATCCTGTTCCTTTTTCGCTTCAGGATCATCAAATACCGATTCCATAGGGTTATATTTTTCCAGTAACTCCTGCTCATCTTCAAAAACATCCCGGAACGTTTTATGAGTATAAAACTTGGGCTTGTATGGAGAATCATCATATCTTTGCTTCTGCTTAATGTAATAGTCCCCCTGAGAATACTTCACAGGCTGTCTAGCTGACTTTCCGCTTTTGAATGCTTTATCTCTTGGAATCTTTTGTGGGTAACATCGAGAGTTCTTATTCTGAAGAACATTTAGCTCCGCCGGTGTTATTCCTTGCTCTAAATAATCCGGATCATAGATAACGTCTTCCTTAGAAGCAGACTTGGCCCCTGATGCTTTCCCGGTGGTTGGACTAAAGTTTTCCACGGTTGGGGATGACAATGGCGACCCTGGTACGCTCAAACTTTCTGAACCTTGTGGCCTTGCGCCTTTTGCATCATTCATCTGTGAAGGTGTCCTTGGCCGTGACAACGGCGTCCTGGACCTAGCGACAGGAGTCCTTGACCTAGTCGAACTCGGTGAGCCATCTCCTGTGATAGTTGTGGCTGTACGTGGACTATGTGCTCTGTTCTGTGGACGACTGAAATAATCATATTGCTTCCTTTCGTTATCAGGCAGCCCAACATGTCGAGTTCTGGTGACATTATTGAGGTAATCTGACGTGTAATACCCTTTGCTGGTAACATTCATTACTTATAACTGTCTAGATGGTCAAATCACTCTCTAGAGCATCTTAGACATATTTTCTTCAACCATCTTTGTTTTCAATAAATAAATTAGAGATGGCTGGTTAGCTTATATTTGTACTGCACATAAAATGTTCCTTAATTCTGGTTATGAAACATGTCAATATTGATAATCGGACAGAAATGGGTCATAATTCAGTTCAGCTTAGGATCTTATTGAATGATCCCTAATTGAAACGTATCTGTTGAAGTATATAATGATGCTCAAAACAAGTGGAGAAAGTTGTCGAAAAATAGTTCCCGGTATTTACAATTTCCCAAGATTAAAATTTAGTACTAAACAATCGCCAATTACGTCTCATTCGTATATAGATGATGATTTCTTATCGTTGAACAAGGAAGAAATTGCAAGCCATGTGCAAGATTTGGGGCCATATCCGTCATATTCAAATATCTTAAATCAACATCACTTCTATCAGAATGAGGTGTTAATGAAATATCTGAAAAAGGATCCCCATCCTGTGTCGCTTCGGCAATTGGCAGGATTTGGTAAAAAGCTCAGCAAGCAAAAGATAGTACATAGTGCCAATTTCGTGAGACTTGAATTGCCTATAAGATTGGCAATGAGAATCAGAGATTTGCAGACGTTACCGTTTGGTATAGCTAATAACTTTCATTTGGGACAAATATATGAAAGTTACTATCATCTGTTTAATGCATTTAGAAAGATTCCGCCGATTAATACGCTAGAAGATAATGACAGATTTTGTGAAACCCTTTCTTCTTTATTGGACGACCATATATTCAACTTGTCGCACTTAATGATGGGGGCATTAGAGATTTCTATTTTGACCAATTTCCCTAAGGAGGAATTGGATAAGTTTATGAGTACTATGATCAGATCGCGGATTAGTAGAAGAGTTATTGTCGAAGAGCATTTATCGATGACTGAAAATTATCGTTCACTGCCTAACTCGAGCAAACCTCCTGACTACATTGGTGAACTTTTCCAAACATGTAGAGCCAGTGATAACTTTCAAGAGGTGGGTGACTTAATTAAAAACTCAATGCTTGAATTTTATCCTAATAAAGAGAATATGCCTGATTTGGAAATTGAAGGTGACGTAGATACAAGCTTTCCTTTCATGGTGCCACACTTGCATTACTTGTTTGGAGAAATCTTGAGAAACTCCTATGAAGCAGTTATAAATACCCACAAAGAGAAAACTTCTAGAAAACTACCACCAATCAAGATCACAATTATTGACTCAAAAAAGCATGTTCTTTTCAGAATCTCCGATCAAGGAGGTGGTATGACTCATGACAAGTTAGCAGACGTTTGGTCTTTTGGAAAAAACTCTGAATTTGCCAGAAGAAGCTTGGCGAATTTCCATAGAATTCCCGGTCTACAACTATATTCAAACTTGGAGGTTACTGCAGCTGGTTCCTCTGTTGTTAAACCTCAGGAAAATGATAATCTCCTAGAACAAACATCTTTGGGAAACATTTCTCCAAAGACTAAAAAGTCCACTTTGGACAGCTTAATTATCAGACCTCATGAATATAAGTTAGGCTTAGGCTTGCCAATGTGCAAAATTTATGCCGATTACTGGAATGGTAATTTGCTGATGAATTCTTTGGAGGGTTACGGTAGTGATACTTGTCTTACTCTAAGTAAGTTGGGTTTCCATTCCAATGTTATTCAATTAGATAGAGCATAGTATGTATATAATAATACCCATATAAAAATTGTGCGAGTATGAATGTAATTTTTTTTTTTAGTACGTTTGTTATTAGCTTGTGAAAATAAGTCTGAAGATACATTAACACAGCATTATGTCCCAGGACAATCAACCTGCATCCATTACTCCAGGGGATCTTTTAAAAGGTCAGAATCTGGGATCTAATATTTCGAACATGATAAAAAAACCTCCTACAGTTAACACGCCGGTCTTAGCAAGATCAACCCAGAACACCCCATTGAATTCAAACACATCATCTACGATTCCTTTACAACAATGGGTTTCACAGTATCAAACTAAACTAGATATTTCCCCTGCATCAACGGGTAGAAAGGAGTATCCAAATATAATTGATACAGATAATAAGCTGCCTACTATCGCAAACGTGAACAATTCCAATAATACTAATAATCTTCCTGGTTTAGGTCCCATTGGGCGAAAACAGACTAAACCAATTAAGCCGATAGCAATAAAACCATCTTCATCTTTGCCTACTTTATTGCCAAAATCAGTCACCCCTCCTAACCTTACTCGATTAGCACCGAAAGAACCAGTTGGCATAGATCAAATTAAACAATTTCAAACAAGTTTCCAGCTTGGCGCAAGTAAACCTTCTTATAATAAGACTTCCATAAACGCTATAATTAATCTTGATTCCGAACCAGAAAATAAACTAGAAAATAAACCAGAACTATCAGCCCCAAAGGAAAAGAAAAAGAGGGTACAAAAAAAAAAGCCTTCAGATGACAATGGGACCCAACCTTCTAAGAAAAGGAAGACCGAAAAAGTTAAGGATTCTGGGGGTGCTACAGTAGATTCACCGCTGGTTGAAAACACGGTGACTAAAGCTACAACCGAATCTCCAAAAAAGAAGAAAGCCGTTAAACCGAAACAAACGGATCCTAAGACTAATGAAGCAAAAAAATCTGTTAAATCTAAGAAAAAGTCTGTAGAGGTAGTTACACCACCAAGCACAGACGCATCCAAATCTGTTGTTCATCCTAATATGACAACAGAAAGAAACGTAATCGAAGATAATAATATACTATTACCCTCGCCGCAAATAATAGATTTGACTATGTCTCCACTCCGCCCTAAAGAAGACGTTAATATGGAAAGTTATAATAACAAAACACCTGAAGAATCTAACGATAAGGAAAAAGAGAAAGAAAAGGAAAAGGAGAAAGAGAAAGAAAAAGAAAAAGAGAAAGAGAAAGAGAAAGAGAAAGAGAAAGAGAAAGAGAAAGAAAAGGAAAAGCAAGAACCACCAATAATTGCAATAAATATTCCCTTAATTAATCCTTCTAATCCTAAACCTGGTCAATCAGAAGTTGTAATAAATGTATTAAAATTGGCTGAAGATAAATATGGATGGTCTGTAATACATCCTAATGCAAAATCCGCGATTGATTTGATGGATGAAATTATCGATGATGAAGACGATGGAATGGATGAAGACATTGAAGAAGATGAATTACCGATTATTGATGAACAAGGGCCTACTTCCGGAAATCCTTTTGCAAAAAAGAAGAAGGCTACTGAAGAGGAATTAACAGAAGAACAATTAGCTAGAAGACATGAAGTTAAAATGAATAGAAAAGTAGGGAAGTATGATTATGAGGACCCATTTATTGATGACGAAGAATTGCAATGGGAAGAAGAAATCACTTCAACAAAGGATGGTTTTTTCGTGTATTGGGGTCCTTTAGTTGACGATAGAAACAATACAACATCGAATAAAAAAACTTCCTCGAAGAGCAAAAAATAAACTTCATTTGTATATGCTAATTAACTATAATATAACAATAAAACATATATAAATAATATACCTAAACAGCAGCAAATTCAGTTAAGCTCTTATCCTATCAAGCGTAATGTTCAACATTTCAACAGCATTTAATTCCGCTTTATCAGCATCTGAATCAGACTTTTTATTCTGTTTAATTTGAGAAATATTCTTATCCATTAACTCTAATATTTTATCGATACGTGAAGGATCGGCCTTAATAACAGGATCATCCTTAAGAATGACCAAAAGATTTAAATAAGCAGATAAAGTTGAAAATTTAGATTGGTTAAGTTCAACACTAACTTTATCGCCACTTTCAGGATCTTCTACGAACGTCAATTCAATTGCTTCATCAATTAATTCAAAGATATCATCAGCCTTTTCTTTATTCAATGTAAGAAATTTATTAGAATTCTTTGACACATCACGAGTAGGTAATATCGGAGCTGGTTTACTCGCATCCTTAATATTTAAGTTCATCATATTTTCAGTCAATGAAGTTGGCTTCACCTTAGTCAACAATTCTTTCAACACCCCAATTAAGACAGCTTTGACGTTGTCATACGGGCAATTCATTAGCGAATCCTTAATAAAGGAAAAAGAAATGTCCTCCGGTGATAATGTTAAAACTTTTGTCAACAATGTTAACGTACCATACCTGAAGTTAGAAGCGGAAGGCAACGTGGTACATATAAATAATAAAACTTGATAATAAATAGATAATAAGGTACTTGGAATTTTCGTTAATTCTAATTCGATTTTTTTTTCATTTACAGCCAGTTTATGAATCGCAAGCCATGACCAAAATAAGCATACATCGGCAATCGCTTTTGATCTGAATGATGAATGTATTAAGCTTGGTATCACTGACCTCAATGTGAGAACTAAAGCATCATTAAATGTTAATTCTACTCTATCATAAAGCCTCTTTGAAGCAATAGAAGTAGTGTATAAAATTAAGCAGCCATTAACTGAATTGTTAAGTTCCTTTACATTATTATCCACAATAAAATTCGATACATTTTCTTGGTAGTCGACAATAACTTTCTCAAATATCTCGCCACTAAGTTCATCCTGATCTGTGGTATAATCGAAAGAATGGAAAATTATATGGGAGTCAACGATATACTGCTTAAAAGTCTTGCTCAAATCAATATCAAAAGATAATGCTAATTCAGTATATCTATCCATTAAAGGAGAGTCCGCACGATATGCAAAATTCTTACCAGACGAATTTTTCTTAAGCTCTTGAAAGTAGGACAATATATCCATAGAATAATCAGGAGACGATTTTTTACCGATTAAGCTTACAACTTCTGTTAAGAATCCCGTTAATAATTTTCGCTGTAAATATTCCTCATCTGCTTTAATTTTGTCGACCTCCTCCTTCGTCAAATCATCGAATTTATCAGGAAAAGGAGGTGTAGAATAATTTCTTGCAAAAACATATGCCCTTTTCAGAATAAATCGATTATTATTTGAAGTACCCATATTCGCCTGCGTCAAATTGAGAAATGATGAAATGGTCATAGACAAAAACCTAGAAGGATAAAAGGTCTTGATTTTCTTTAAGCAACTATCAATTAATTCAAAAATACAGTAAAGTTTAATATCAAAGAATTTCTCTTTAAATTCAATGTTATCTGTGGTATTGTTGTCAGAAACCTTTATATCATTCAATAATTCACAGCTCTTCAAAAACAACTCCTTTGGATTCCCATTCAACGCCAAACATTCAAATATCTTTAAAACTTTATACACATTGGGTGCATCTCTAATAGAGCCATCGAATTGGAAGTTCAGGTCCACGTATAGAATTAATAAATTTGGTAAATCCCATCCAATTTCGTATGTCAATTCCGTATTATTGGATAATATTGTTAGCAAATGCTCTAAAAGCTGTTCTCTTTCTTCGTATGAATACTTGTAAGGGTCGCTTAAATATATGTCCAACAAAGTACTATACGAAAGATAATCTTTTGACTCATTGATATCTTCAACAGCTAATTCTAGACTCTTTAAGACTTTGTCGAACTCAAAAGTCTCAATTGTTGATTCGCTTGCATTAGTTACACTAGAAGTATCTGATTCTGACATGATTAATTGTAGTTTATTCCTGAAGACGAAAGTTGCTTGAAAAACCCAAAAGCTGGCCTTTTCATGAAGCAGATAAAATTAATGCGACTCAGTCCAACGGCCAATACTACAAAGTGATAATGTAATTTTTTACAAACAATCCACAAAGCAATAGCGTATAGTCATGTCCATGATACAATCTGATCAAGATGAGTCATCCGATACTTCTGATGCTTCTGAGGTATCTGATACATTGGAGGATAAAGTTATTGAAGACGAGAAAATTGAAACTAGGATACCATTATCTACATCTATAGTATTGGAGAAGCTACCCGATCACAAGCAGGTACAATTGAGCAGAATAACTAATGAAAGTGATATATTCAAAGTCACAATTAGATTTCAGCCAATAGGCTCGACTCCTAGTATAAATCCAAGAGTATTTAAGATCTCTTCTAATCAATCGATATCAACTATAAGTAAGTTTTTGATGAAAAGATTGAAAATTAAAAGCAACCTAATCTACCTATATATACAAAACTCATTTCAGCCAAACCCTGATGAAAAGATAGGAGATTTGTACCACTTGTTTAAGACAAATAACGAATTGATCATAAACTATTGTCAGTCTATAGCCTTTGGCTGATGATCCACCTTTAATCCATACGTAACGAATGCTAGGATGCCTCTAAAGCCGTTGTATATAGTCCGCTAAATAATCGCTAATGATAATCGGTTAACAGTAATATGCTAATGATCACAATATATTGTAACTCGCAAGTCGTAGGAGCTTTGATATATGTCTTATCTTTTGCAATCACATTGACGCTCAATAGGCTAAACTAGTCTAAAACCTTGCAACAATGAAATGACGTTCTACATGAATAAATTATTAACAAGTACTATTGTAATCTAAATAAAAAGAAAAACAAATGGATAATTAAATCCGTCTAATGAGACAAGAAGGTATAAAGGTATAATAAACCACGAGAAGAAACGCAAACATCAATAGTAAATACATGAGAACATACTCAAACACTAAGCTGTCCTATAACTTAGTTGTAGAAGACAAACTTAGCCTTACCGGAGGAAACAGTGACGGTACAACCATCAGTACCCTTACCGTTGTAAGAACCGTTTTCGTATTTACAGTCACCGTTGACGTTAGCACCGCTTTCACCGACAATCTTAACGTTATAGTTTGGAGAGTCTTGGTTGTTTGGGTTTGGAATCAAAGATAAGTAAGTCTTACCATCAGTCACACCAGCACCTAAGACAACAGGAGCCCAGTTACCGACACCGGAACCTTCAGTACCCCAGATACAACCGTCTTCAACACTGACACCAGCGTCATTAACGTAGTATTGGGTAGAGGTCTTACCACCCTTCCAGGTGTAGTAGTCAGCAGAGTCAACAACAGAGGCTGGAGCAGTCTTACCACCTTCTAATAAGGTTGGAATGTTCATGTTTTCAGAACCTGGGTAATCGGTACGACAGATGGCAATGTCCTTGCTGATTTCAGAAGAGAATTCAGCAGTTTTTTCACCCCAAGAACATAAGTAGTCTTGGTCCTTGTTGGACTTGTATAAGTAACCACCCTTACAGTATAAACCACCAACGGAGATACCGTTACTTGGTTGTTCAGATGGCCATTGGGTCTTGGACATACCAGCTTGACAAGCGTAAGAACAATAGTAACCATCCTTACAGTTGGAAGAGGTGTCACCGTCTTGGTTCATGACAGAAGTCCAACCACCGTTTGTACCGGAGATCCAGTCAACAGCAATAACACCTTGACCAGTTGGGACTTCAGAACACTTGTACTTACCATCTTCGAACTTGTCACTTGGATCGGAGAAAGCACTCAAGTCACCGGAAATACCAGAAGAAGATCCAGAAGAGGATCCACCAGTGGAAGATGAACCAGAGTCGGTTTCCGAAGCAGAGCTCGACGCAGCTTCACTGGAAGAAGCAGAGCTCGAGGTGACAGTGGACAAGGTGGTGGCAGAACCAGTTCCTTGAGAAGCCTGGGTACTAGTAGCAGTACCAGAAGAAGTCACTGGGTTACCATTGGAGTCAACGTAAACAACTTGGGTAACTTGCTTAACAACACTGTCTCTCTTGTGTTGATGTTGGTGGTGCTTGTGGCCTTCTAAAGGAGCAGCTAAAGAAGCAGTAGCTAAAGCTAAAACAGTTAAAACGGAGTATTTCATAATAATATCAAGTTTGTAGTTTCGATTTGAATTTCCTCTAAATGAATGTGTAGGAAATTAAGTGTAATATCAATTACGGGTATAAAAGATTGGATAATCAGTTAATAGCTATAATAAGGAAAGACTATAGTTGGTAAATAACTTTGCAAGAAAAGATAATAAATTTAAAATTAAAATTTACTAAATTGATTTTCTGACAACAGCGAGTGTAACTTGAAATAACAGGTGAGATGAAAAAAACTAAAAAAGCCCTGCAATATTCAAAACAGCAAAATTATTGTTATTTATGTTTTTAATTAAGCCTATTCAGTGCCGCTAATTACATAGGCGAGGTAAGAAAAAAATTCTTTTTGGTAAGATCTGTTTATGATTCGGCCAATTAGAGTTAAATTACAATTTCTTTTTTGAATGTGCCAGTTTACGAGCACAGGCCTAGACCTCACACGCTGCGGTCGGTGCATTCTGCCGACAGTGCTGCGCGTATCAAAGTTTAAGCGCGGCAAGATCCCATGTGGCCAATCAGTGGCCTGTAATTTGCATGGATTATGTAGTCCGTACAGCAACATCAGAGGTGGTCAGGGGATTCTAGGCCAGGACAGACAGGGAGGAAAAGCAGGTGCAAAAAGGGGACGAATGGGATGTAGACACGGCCAGAAGAAGGCGATAGTGGCGGATGATAGAGTAGAATGAAATATGAGGTACCGCGTATGATTATGGATGAAACAATTATACGGAACAAAAAAGGTCCTGATAATAGCCTTGGTTATACACGGAACACGAAAAAGTACCACTGCGGCAGAAGTTCATAATCTGTCGGTGGGGATATCGCACAAAAAACGGTTGCAACACACAGCAGCAGAAGTGGACCGAGAATAAACAAAAATGCGATGTGGCCACTGCATGGAAGCTGCGAAGGGAAGGAAAAATTTGCTGATTGACATGACACAAAAGTATGTGAGTGACGTGCGACCAGTAATTACAGTTCCCGAACGAGATGAGATGGCGTTAATTACGTGCAGAAACTGCACGCCTGGGGATGGCGATATGATGGCCAGACGATAGCAGGAAGTTTCCGTAGATCTGAAAGACTGGGGAGACGGTCAAGAAAAGCTGTGGGGTGTGTTGCCAGCATAGGCTTTTGGTTAGAGTTTGCGATAAACTTTGCGATTGCATAAGGTTAGAGTTTGGCTGTGCGGTGAGGGGGGAATTAGAGTTAGCGAGTCGTAAACGAGAAAAGCTTGAGACGTTGACATAGCTACTAACTAACATATCTCAGGTGTGTGGTCTTACACATTACACCTCCTGGTGTATAGTTAGTGGCCTCTACTCTTCAATAGGGGCATTACACGGACATTGGCATTGTGGTATGCGCTCGATGTGTGCATTTACTGAGACGATGGCACTAGCAGGACAACCTGTTGGTCGGCTGTTGTTATACGCCGCACCGCGAGCGGTGTATATTCAACCGTAACCAGGTATGAATCAAACCTCTACAGGAGTGCCAAAAGGCCCGTCGTAGTTGACCATGATACCTTTCCATTCATTACATTACACTAAACATAAACTATAATACAATCATAAACCTAACCCTTTGACGCGGTATATCGCGACTCAATACCAAAACCAATTCTTTTAACATCGCCTCCTATTACGAGAGTTTGAGCGTCAATATTGCCACCAGTTCGTATTACTAGCGATGGTCTACTATGCGATCCACCGTTAGGTACCCGACTATGCGATGACTTATTCATTGCACGTAACCCTTGATGCTAGTTTGTAATATGAGCGACCAAGTAGCTATTTCGTGCCCGTAGCGTCCCCTAAATGACGCATATTGAACGAGCTACAATCATCGAAGTCGCCTGGATCTCGTAAGCCCTAAGGCCCTTTCTATGTCTTCCACATAATATCAGATCCACTTGGAAACCCCTTTTGAAGAATTACTGCTTCAACCGACAGTTCCCTCATCCTCAATGCCAAGGTTAAACCATGGGTGATCCAACGCCTCCAATGCCGTTAGTCTATCATCGGGATTAATAATCAAAAGATTCTTGAGCAAGTCGATGAAAAACCACCAGAACGTGAAATTGCCAAAATTAATCAAATGCTTGTTCTTATCGAAATTCTTCGACAACGAATAATCAAGATTAATATTGAGACCAATCCTCGAACTGATAAATAAGTCAATCCGTGCTAGCAAGTTGACACTATTAATAAATTTTTGGGGTGTAGACTCTGTAGGAAATATTAACGATAGACTGTTCCCCCTAGTCAACTCATCATCAACAATTACGTCGTCATCTTGTTCGCTTTCGTCGTCGCTAAATCCGTTATACTCGTCGGTAAAATACTGTAATCCACACTCATTTTCTTTAGCTTTCGACAACAATACCATTGATTTGTCTATTTTATGGCCACAAACTTTTTCAATCATTGCCAAATGTTCTAGGTTATCGTGCGTCTTAAACAAAGGCTCGCCTATCACTAATTCAACTAAAATGCATCCTACCGACCACATATCACACGGAAACGACCAGCCAACACCCAACACAATTTCCGGGGCTCTATAATGCCTTGTTGATACAATAGACGAATGATATTCATCGTCAAAAATAGCACTCCCAAAGTCAATTATTTGTATCAAGGGATCTTTTAAAATCTTTGAATACTTCGGAATTTTCTTATTAGATGATTCGTTCAATTTTGTTAAATTTATGTAGCTTGCGGTGATCGTATTACTCCGCAACAACTTCTTGTTAAAGGAATCATCATGTAATAATATATTTTCCGGTTTCAAATCAGTGTGAATTAAACTCAAGTCATGCAAAAAGGTGACCGATCTGATAAGCTGCTTTGAAATAGCTTGTATATGTGAACCTGGAAATGCAATATATTTATTTTTTTCCAAGAAATCGTACAATGAAATTTGCAATAAATCTGTGACGATACAAATATGTCCCCTAAAATCGAAACATTCACGAAGATGAATGCAATGGTTGTCATTTTGGTTGTCAAACTTCTTCAACGTGGACAAAATTCGTAATTCAATCTTAGCAGCATCTCTATACTTGGGTATGTTTCTTATTATCTTGATGGCAACCGTTTCACGATTTACCTTGTCGTAGCATTCGACCACTTTACCAAACGTCCCTTGTCCCAATAATTTTAGTATTACAAATCTATTGGCAAACAAGTCATTAATCTTAATAATATAATGGCCATCCTTATCGTCGCAGGGGGGTAAATTCATTTGGTGGGGAATAATGTCTGTTCTGATATTTCCTAACTTAGGATACTGCAAAACATAATTGATTGGTTTATTATAGAAACATTTCACTTGAGGTAACTGAGGCAATGAATTGGTTCTTTGCTTCTTCGTATTGGATATAGGAAAACTAGTGTGGCTAATCTCAAAATCCTCAGTATTATTAACATTGAACATATTATACGCTGCAAATGCATCAGTATATGTCAAAACCGAATCAGAATTGTTCCTCTTTGATTTGGTACGATTAATTTGTCTTTCCTCGAGGATAATTATATCGTCATCCTCGTCACATTCCGAATCCAAATCTTCAATCACCGCATGGTCCTTGCTGTAACCATCCATTCCAAAATTTACCTTCTTATTATTCGAATCATTCGTATTTATAGTGGTATCAGATTCGTTTAAGTTTATATTCATATTCAAATTTAGGTTATTACTCGAGCTGGGTGATATGTCGTTATATGTCGACCCCGACGACGACGAATTAGTATCGAAATAGCCGTTGCTTGTTTTTGTTTTATTTGATGCTGTCTTATCTGACGTCGTATCAAATGCTTCACTGAAACCTCTTGGCCTTTTTCTATTAGAAATCAACGACATTTTGTCGACTAATCCAAGCAATTCTTATTATATTGAAAAACCCCTTTACCGAACTTTATTAGCTTACTGTACGCTAATCAAGGGGTAAATAACTTCGATTACTTCACCGGAATAAAAACCTTTAGCTTATTATCAACACAGCGTCAGTAGTATACTTCCGTGTATCTAGACTTTAGTCAATATATATATATTGTGTATTCAAACTTATCTTTTTAAGTACAACGCTAATTAAGGGGATGATAAGATTTGAGATTTGATAAATTGCTAATAAATTAAAAAAATATTAGTTATGGGTGTTTGGATGTTTCTGGTGCAAGCCCAAGAAAAGTTATACTGAACATAAGTTTTGGACCACACCTGAATATGCACCCACTTGTCGTCCACACTCGTGTACATGCAAACCTACGGTGTTGTTATGGTCATTAATAAAATGAGTCAACTCTTAACTCCACGTTTCTCCTTATCGAAGATTGGTGTGCGTTTACCAACATGATCTCCTCTGATTACAAAACTGTTCATTACTAGAGAGGCCAATGGATAGTAAGAGGATTGAATATAGAGAAAAGGATAAGTCCTGGATGGGGTACATGAATAATAATAGGTAATTAAAGAAAGAAGGATATTTATTAAAAGAAACTACTAATCGAAACAATAGGTGGAGATTATCACTTTGGGGTATTTTCTGCGACTGGGCAGGGGAAATGGAAGAAGATGCAAAGCAAATTTATTCTCTCGGAAAATAATCATCTTTAGCAATAGAGCCTAAGCGACGTCAAATTCGTAATCATCTGAATTCATTGTACTCGTATATCTATTCGAAATTGTTGGCAAGTTAAGGATAGCCAATAACAGTTTATTGGGCCTCACTAAGTCATATAATTATGCTTCGATGATTCTTTACATACGTGACCAGTAAATCCATCGGTGTTTAATATTCGGTTGGCTATGTATTAAATTCAATGGGCTATCATTGGTATATGTAGAATATTATTTTTACCAGCATAAGCACAAAATATGCGAAATCTGGAAATGTTCCAAATTTTACGATATACCGGTCAATTTCATCAAACAAGGAACATACATAAACTCCATTAAACACTTTGAATGGCCATACTAATGTCTGACACACACACACGTACAAGAAAGTAGTGTTATGGGTGTTTTATCCCGGTTCAATCCAATATACCATTCTTTTGGATCTTGTGCGACATATTCAGCATACCGAATTTATTGCTGCCATACCTAATAAGTTGGGATAAAAGCTACTACTAGTCTTCCAAGATCAATAATTTTTATATATGTACTGTAATCTTCAGCTCCTCCTTCGAAGACACAACCCCTTTTCTTACAAGTGTACGATGTCTGTTATTAATGTTCGTAAGCTTACTGTAAAGTTCAACAGCACTACTACCGTATGCCAGTTACATACGCCAAAGGATGAAAAAAACTTGGTCTACTGCAACTACGATTCAGCATACCTAAACGACAAGCAAAGCATAATCAATACCCTAATTGATGATAATTGCGTTATCCATAGCTTCCCACATGCCTTCATAAGCAGTGTTCTCACTGCACCCGCCTACAGCATCTCAATTAGCTACGTGATCAACTGTATTGATGACTTGCATACATTGATCAAGATCCTAGCATCAATAGAGAGTGATCTTCTTGACACCAATTTTTCTCTCGAAATATTCTCCTATTCCTCTATCTTTAAGCAATACATCATTGCGTATGCCGCAAAATGCTTGCAAAATTGTAAAATCTATATACATTAGTCTTAGTTGTCTTTCCGGTTAATATACATTAGTTTTAGTTGTCTTTCTGGTTAATATACATACGTCACTAGAATAAATTATCCCTCCACATATGGTAGCCACCAACATGAGTCTACCGTGCAGTTTCTGGTAACGAGCATTCATTTATTCGCTTATTGTCTCACCTTGTCTTTGCCTCTACTGCTATTGTTTAGCATGAAAATTCTCCATAAACGTACTAAGAGAAATTGTCTATACATTCTACTATAGGATACCTTGCCGGGCCTTATACCCGTTTGCTATATACCGTTCTGCAGCGTCTACCTCTGTTATTTTTGTTAGACGAAGAATCGTATGGTAAGAGGGTTAGCTTACCTAATCAAATATTCAAATAATGAGCTTTGCAAAATGTTCAGGTTTTATAGACATTCCCCTAGTTAGTATGCTTTTCTTTCAAAGGGACTTTTCTGGAAATATCTCTCATTTTAGAAACAAACAGAATATATAAACTCTCTGAGGATACCAAAGAGAGAGAGAGAGAGAGAGAGGGACGGCGGTTGAGCTGATATTACACCAGATAATTACTTTTTTAAGATACTGTTTTACAATCTTGCAGAAGTGCAGTCTAAAGCTTACGAGCAACAAAATACCCTATAAGGTGATAGAAACCTAAATATATTCTGCAGTTGCAGTCAATAGAATCAATATGGCGAAACAGGAGAATTCAATGTCAGGGTCTAGTGGCAACGATGCAGGTGCGAGACTGAGTCTATTGAAAACTACATTGTTGTCCAGGACCGGTGGATCAATTTCCAACACTGGCGAACAATCATCTGGCATCGCAGGAACAGATTTAACGCCTCTGCCGATGATATCATCACATGAGGATATGTCTAACTCGGGAGTTAGTACAAATCGTGGGCAGAAACTTGCAGATCAGGATGATTCTGGCATATCCACAAACGAAGGAGAGCATGTACGGGAACCAATGAACAACGGAAGCTCCAATAGTTCCAGTTCGGGAGATATATTGAATGCGAATTCGAGTGCAAACTCCAGTTCTAATGGAAATCAATTGTTGGAAGGAGCCATGCAAAAAAAGTATTTCTGCAAGGTATGCGACCAGGGATTTACACGTAAACACAACATGGCGAGTCATGAATTAATACATTCTTCGTCGAAGCCCCATGTATGTCGAGTGTGTGATTCGAAATTCAGGCGCATACATGATTTGAAACGTCATGAAAAACTACACACCGGAGAGAAACCGTTCCATTGCACTAAATGCACTAGAAGGTTTGCAAGACCGGACGCCTTAATAAGGCACCAGAATTCGCCGAATGCTTGCTCTGGAAATACGCATTCTATCAGCCGAGCGGGTGGGACGTTCTTTTCGCAGATGGTGCCTACTAGTAGCACGTCAGTTTCAGCAATGTCTTCCCCAACAGCCAATACCGACTGTAAGACCAGAGATCCGGATTTGAGTAGGTGGAAGGTGCTTCAGAACACTGGCCAAAATTCACCTCCATATCAAACATACCTTCCTACCCAAGCTCCGAATAATGATATCAGGACGCCCACAATGGCTACTACGAATACTAGATCCACATCCGATAATGAACAACAAGGGCAACAATTCAACGAATACTACCATGCATTAGAAAACCGGGAGCCTTACTTACCTTTACAAAACCAATACTCACCAAAGCAAACGAACCCTCCATATTTGCCGTACTATCTGCCTGTATGTAATAGTCATCCTACTCACCTGAATAACCCACCTCTTCCACATACCAATCACACGAATCTGCATTCTGGCCAACAACATACCGCTCCTGCTGGCTTTGTCACCATTTCAAAATATCAAGATCTAGTGGCCTACACACATAAATTACAGGAAAGCTTAGCGAAGATGGACTCTAGGCTCAAGTACTTAGAGGACCGGTCTGCCAGCTGGCTGAAGGAAGATGATATGTTAAACCAATCGAAGCGTACCAATAATGATAGTACTGGTGGTAGTGGGTGACAATAATTAGATGCATTTAGATGTGACTTTGCTAATGAGTATATGAGGAATATTTAATAGATTATTTAATTGTATATTATATCATATGGTTTCCATATTGTCTTGAAGAGTAGAATATATAGTGTATCTTATTTTGCATCCAGTTGACACAAACAAGTATTCTTAATTTTATATCATCTTCATAGAATATCCTTCGAAATTTTTTTAAAAAAACTCACTTCCTTGTTTCAGACGGTAGCTCAAGTATCGATATTAATGCTTCACTTGATCTTCAATAAATTTGGTGTACTATTAGTGCTTCTTATATGATATGCACAGGGTCTTCTTTATATGTTAACTGAGACATAATTACCTGCAGTACGTTATCGCTATCAATAAGAATAAATTAAAGGGATAATAAGGGAGGCAAAATTAAGTACATTTGTAACAGAATATATATTTAATAAATACGTAATTTGAGTACGTTTTAATACTAGTATAAAAAGGTTATTCAATTAGTAGAAAGGTATTAACTTTTAGAGAATTAAATTTAATTACTAGCGATTGGCACGGAAATTTATGATGCAATCTATTCATAATGATGAAGACTGGTCAATCATTTCGTCGTCTTCGGATATGGATGATGACCAGTCCACAGGCAGCTCTGTGCTCGGAAGCAGCAAGGAGTTAAGTTTAGACCAAGATAAAGAAGTTTCCAGCGTTGGCACCTTAAAACTACCTATCATTGCCCCAGATTTTGAAACTACGAGCAAAAATGAAGCAACCAAGAGCCCTAAAAAGCCCATCGTCGAGCCCATTATAGACGATTCTTCACAGAATGAGGATAGACATATTGACAATGTGATTAAGTTTTATGAGAATCTTTCGTTTAGAACAGGAAAATGGAATGACTCAATTAAACAAAAGTCCAGCGAATTTTACCAAAATGTAGCCAAACTGAGACTAGAGCAATTCAATAAGTTCATTTCATCCAAAGATGCCATAGACGTAGCAAGTAATAAAGCTGAAGAAGATAATGGTGACAAAGCAGATGTTGAAACGGATATTGTGGATTTGGATCCTGCCGAGGCACAACCGGATGAGAATAATGGTCGCAAATGCAGAGCAAATTGTGTGTACTTAAAATTTGAAGGCTTGCAAGATTTTATGGAGGACAATTCGGAATATTTATTTTACTACTTTGTAAGTAGCATTTTGGGAGTGGTCTCATTGATTGGGTTATATTACAAGATCAATTGGAATTCAGTATTATGCTATCGTAAACAGCTGCCAACACCATCAATTTTCATGACCACGTTAAGTTATTTTGACAAAACAGCGTTTAAATTTAAGACCTATTTGGAGGATCTATTTTATGAAGATTCATACCCGACATCAAAATACTTCGGATTATATCAAGTGACTCCGTCGAAGACTATCAAGTTCTCTAAAAAGATGAATCTGTGGAAAGAATACGATTTTGCCAGACTAAATGAATGGTTGCGTGTCATGAAACAAAAGGGTATCATCAATTTCAACGCATGGTATACCCACATTACTCAGAACCAGGCTGCTGAACTCATTAACTTGTGGCATCATCTTAAACAGCGCTACATTGTGAACCCGTATGACTTGATTTCCCGTGAATTGCATCAAGTACCCGGTTATATAAAGCTTGCTAATAATTCCATATTAAGGTCATTTGATCGGTGTTGGAAGAACAATTCCTTGGAATATGTTTTTCATAGGGCTAAATTCAATGTTGATCAGAGTGCGAGACATATTTACAGATCAAGTTACCCACTTCGAAAATTTGTTGCTGATTCAATGAATATTTAGTTGAACAATCACAGCTTCTTCGTTATATAGGTTTTCATGTTATAATCTGCTCTTCTTCTCTCCCAACAAATGGCTTCTGGTAATTCCTTTGGCATGGTTTTGATTGTTTAGGTTTTCATTTTTTTTTTGTATTTTTGGTTTTGGTCTATGGTTATGGTCGGATATTTATGGTTTGATATAATCGATTAATCGATTAATTTAGATTATTTGGGTAAGAATCCATTTCTTTGTTATCTATGTTGGGATATCTCTAATATATGTTTTAACTTACTGATATCGTATAATAGCAGTAAACATTAAAGTCGTGCGCGAATTGTAATATTGGACGATAAATTTCAACTACCAAACACTCTAAGTAACATAATTCTATCTTTTGCTACTATATATTATAAAATCGAAGTAAATTTTATAACAATCCTAACATATATCATTCATAATGGGTAAGTATCTTTTTCCTTAAAGTTTAATTTGTGCCTAATTTATTAGGTTACATATTAATTGAAATGTTGTTAATTCGATACTAACTATGAAACAGGTATTCCCAAATTTTTTCGGTTCATTTCAGAAAGATGGCCATTGATTTCCCAATTAATCGATGGAACACAGATTCCAGAGTTCGATAACTTATATCTTGATATGAATTCGATTTTACATACATGTACACATTCCAATGATGATACATTCTCAAGGTTAACAGATGATCAAATGTATGCTGCAATCTTTTCTTATATTGAGCATTTATTTGAAATCATTAAGCCACATAAGGTGTTTTATATGGCTATTGATGGGGTCGCCCCAAGAGCAAAAATGAATCAACAAAGAGCTCGTAGATTCAGAACTGCATTTGAAGCAGAAGAAAACATGAAAAATGCTATTGAAAAAGGTCTTGAAATCCCTAAAGATGATCCATTTGATTCTAATGCGATCACACCTGGTACTGAATTTATGGCTAAGTTAACCGATAACTTAAAGTATTTTATTCATAAAAAAATATCTGAGGATTCCAGATGGGCCAACGTGAAAATTATCTTGAGTGGCCACGAAGTTCCAGGTGAAGGTGAGCATAAAATTATGGAATATATTAGAACAATGAAGAATCAACCGAACCATGATCCAAATTCAAGGCATTGTATTTACGGTTTAGATGCTGATTTAATCATGTTAGGATTAGTGTCCCATTATCCACATTTTGCTTTATTGAGGGAAGAAGTTACTTTTGGACCAAGAGGTCAAAAACAGAGTAATGAGTTAACTGATCAAAATTTCTACTTATTACATTTATCCTTATTAAGAGAATATTTGTCATTAGAATTCCAGACTTTGGATAATCAATTAAGCTTTGAATATAATTTCGAAAGAGTGTTGGATGACTTTATCTTAATCATGTATGTCATCGGTAATGACTTTTTACCCAATTTGCCGGACCTATTTATAAATAAAGGGGCATTTCCGTTATTATTGGAAACATTCAAACAAACATTACAACAATCAGATGGTTATTTGAACGAAAATGGTACAATTAATTTGAAGAGATTAAATATCTGGCTTAATTCTCTTTCGGAGCTTGAATTAGAAAATTTCGAAAAGCAAGATGTTGATGTTGAATGGTTCAATAAAAGGTTAGAGGATATTTCAATTACTGGTGAGAAGAAAAGAGAGCGCATGGGTAAATTGTTAATATTAAAAGATCAAAAGAAGTTAGTTGGTATGATAAAACCATGGCTATTAGAAAATTCTTCGAAAAAAGTTGAAGAATTAGTTGCATTAGCCAACGAAGATAAATTACCTCAGTTACAACTTCCAACTGATGAAGCAACTAAGGACCTTGAGTTTTTGAAGACATTTGCGTTAGATGCTGGTATTGTCATAATTCATTCTAAATCGGAAGATACTTATACAGTTAAATTAGATATTGATGGATTATCACCTTACGAAACTGAAGAAGAACAGAATGAAAGATTTAATGAGCTTAGAAAAATTATTAAAAAATACCAGTCGGCAAATTTATTTGAAACTGATGAAATATTAAAGGATTCCAAGAATATTTATGATACGAAGTTTATGAACTGGAAAGATAAGTATTATAAGGAAAAGTTACATTTTTCAATTTATGAGACAGATAAGATGATTGAGTTCACTCAGCATTATTTAGAAGGTTTACAATGGGTTTTGTATTATTATTATAAGGGATGTCCATCTTGGAACTGGTACTTTAGATATCATTATTCTCCAAGGATATCCGATATATCGATTGGATTGAATGAATTTTTAAAGACAAATACAGGTATAACTTTTGAAAAGTCGAAACCTTTCAAGCCATTCGAACAATTGATGGCAGTTTTACCGGCCAGATCGAGAAAATTAATGCCATCAGTTTACAGGCCACTCATGACAGAACCTCATTCCCCAATAATTGATTTTTATCCTCATGAAGTTGATATTGATATGAATGGGAAAAGTGCTCCTTGGGAAGCGGTGGTTTTATTGTCATTTGTTGATGAAAATAGGTTGATCGATGCTTTAAGACCAATTGAAGCACAACTATCTCCAGAGGAGCTGAGAAGAAATAGTATTGGTAATGACATAGAATTTATCTTTAACCCACAAATTGACTATATTTATCCTACACCATTGCCAGGGTATTTCCATGACATTGAGCATGATAAGTGTATCGAGGAGTCATTCTTATTGCCAAAAGTTGAAGGTGAGGTCAAGATTGAGTTGGGAGAAAACGCGTTGTTAGGTAAGGAATCATTAGCTGGTTTTCCTACTTTGGAAACTATTCCATTTAGTTCAGAATTGTCCTTACATGAAGTCAAGGTATTCCAGAATCCATCAAGATCAGAATCAATGATCTTGAGTCTAGAAAATATGTGGAACGATTTATCAATTTATCAATTTAGTCAAAAATTTATTAGTAAGGTCGTCTATACCAAATGGCCATTTTTGAGAGAATCAAGAGTTGTTTCAATTATGGATAAAGAATTCAAGTATGAATCTATGAAGGTGCAAAATTCTAGAAAGGTTGTATCGACTCCATTAACTCCAGACGAATCGAAGTCATTTTATCAAACAGCAAGATCTATTTCAGATAATTACGAGAAGACTAAGGGTATTAAATTAGGGGATATCGAAGGATTAGCATATGTTCAACCAGTTACAGGTTTAATTCGTAACGAAAAAGGAGCATACGTCAAAACGTTTTCAAAGGAAACTGAAATTTACCCAATTCAATTAATTGTAGAAGAGGTGATTAATGAAGACACTAGATTTGCAACAAGACCACCGTTACCTATTGATGAAGAATTTCCACTTGAATCTCAAATTGTATTTTTGGGTGCTTTTGCATATGGTACACCAGCCACAGTTGCAGGCTACACTGGTAATGATAAGGTCAATGTTAAAATTTCAAAAATCCCATCAACAAACGAACCAAATATTGGTAAAAGAAGATTGGATATTGAAAGTAAGGAAATTAGATATTTGCCGTCCTTTGAAGTTTCTAAGAAATTGAGATTGAATGCATTATTTATGTCTAAGATCACTTCTGGTTATATGCTTGAAAATGATTTTAATAATAAGAGACGTGTTAATATTGGTTTGGAATTAAAGTTTGAAGGTCGTCGTCAAAAAGTTTTAGGCTTCACAAGAAAGAATGGTAAAGTATGGGAATTTTCTCCATTAGCAATTCAGTTGATTTCTGATTATCGCTCTAAGTTTCCAAAATTATTCAAATCATTACAAGAAATTGATCAAAAGGCCATTCCAAAGGCTTCTACAGTTTTGAATACTGAAAGTGAATTACAGGACGTAACAAAATGGTTAAAGGAAGTTAAGGCTCAATTACTGAAAGTATCCTTAGAATCTGAATCTTTTACAAAATTCAGTTTTGAAGCAATTGAAAGTTACATGGAACATTATATTGGACAAGCCGTTCCATATACGAACAAGGATATTAAAGGTGTACCAAAGAGTGCAGTTTTAGATCCAAGTGAGTCGTATCAATTATTGAGTACTCAGAGGTTTGAACTAGGCGATAGAGTTATATATGTTCAAAAGTCTGGTAAAGTTCCTTATTTATCAAAGGGTATAATTGCTTCCATTACATCGTTTGGAACTAAAAACTCGTTGGGTGTGATTTTTGATTATCCATTGATGAGCGGTAATAATATGAATGGCAAATTGAAGACTAACAGGGGTTTAATTGTCGATTCATCTTTAGTATTGAATTTGACTAATAAGCAATTGGTGTATCATAGTAAAGCTTCGAAACAGAAATCGAAACCATTGGGTGATAACGAGAAGAAGCAGAGATCGAAGGAAATAGCTCTTGCAAAGAAACAAAAACAAGAATTAGAAAATGCAAAGAAGCAAGCTAATTCCGAAAAAACTAATGAATTATTGAATTTATTAAAAAAATCTGACCGTGAAAATAAAAATGATACTGGCGAAGCAAATCTGAACAAAGAAGCAGGAGATAAAAATGAAAATACTGGCCAGGAAGAAGACCTGAGACTCAATTCTAACGCAATTAGACATATCTACGGTCAAATTTATTCGAATGTGATGAATGAAGGAGCTGTTCATCCACAACATATGCCATATGGTGTTCCTCCTGTTGTTCCAGGAATTCCCTTACCACCACAGTTTTTCCAGCAACAACCAAGTCAGTTTCAGCAGCAACAACAGCAACAGCAAGAACAACCAGAAGAAATACCCTTCTCGCAACAGAACCGTGAAAATGGTAGAAATGACAGAAGTAGAGGAAATAGAGGTAATTACAGAGGTAACGGCAGAGGTAGAGGCAGAGGAGGCAGAGGCAGAGGCAAGCCAAATTGATGATCTTGTCTATCTGCAGATATAGTATTTGTATAATATGGATGTAGGTAGTGCAATAAAAATCTGTAATTTTGGTTCGTAAAGTGTATTTAATGACAGCTAGGTTGTCCAAGATTATATACTACGTATTATTCAAAGCATTATTAATTCAGTAACTATGTACAAGGGTTATTAACAATATATTTACTAATTCCAATTTAATCTTTCGATTTCTCAACGTCACCCCCAGCCAGCGTAGTATTTGCCGAAGAATTACCCCCTTTCAAGTTTTGGCTACTGCTTATACTCGAATTCGTTCCAATTTGGCTCTTCTTAGGCTCTGTCGTATCATTCGGTAAGTTTACCAACCCTAACGAATCCCATTCTGATTCATCCATTAATTGGTTATCCATTCTACACTTCAAGTATTTCTTGGCTAAGACTCGACAGTTGGGTGCATTCAGGTTTTCGGTGAACTTCATACATTTCAAGTATTCTACCATCTGTTGCTTACATTCACCATCATGATCCAATGGAAATGATCCTCTTTCGGGTGGTGTAGGCGACCATCTACTAAATGAATTTCCTATAAACGTTAGTCCATCCAAGTCTATTATATTGCGGCCTCATTAAACCCCCCTCAAAAACATACCTGGTGCTCCGGTGGCCATTATATTCTATTTCTTTGGTTCTTAGTGTGCCCTCTATGCCAAGGGACTAGCTTTTCAGGTGATATAGCGGAGGAAAATGTCGTACTAAATGTTGCACAAACGTCGAATGCTTTGTCGCGTAATATCGGATAATATGTCGCGCAAGGCGCTTAAGTCAAAATGTCGCAAACAACCACAAACACCACAAACTCCATACGGTGTTTGTATGCGGTCCTTGGCCTCGAATTTATCCGGGAAAACTCGGACGAATGGATAACTTATGCGTTTGCACCGTCTTGTGATTCTTAGTACTAAGCTGAACAACGGGGGATATTTCTCATAGAACCGTGTAATTCGTCTTAAAAGCTGTACCATAGGGTTATATATGATGAATTCACCGAGGACATGTCAAAAATACTAGAAGAAACGACCGTATAGGGCCTATTTTTCAGTTATTAGTTGACATATTTGTCGGGCTTAAGGTGACTCAATTAAAAGAAATTTGGGGGGATTACACAAAAACGGCGGAAAACGAAATTTTCTATGTGGAGATTATAATGAAAATACATTGAATGGTTTTATTCATCTTTATTATACAAATATATATATATAAAAGTATATACACGAGTTCAGGGATTTGAACCGACCATACTAGTTGTTGATTTTGTTCATTGAAAGAAGGTTTCTATAGAACAGAAATTTCCCCAGATTTATACCAATACACGTCATAGACTGAAAAATTTCAACAAGCATATTGATTCAGTTCCCATTTGTTTTTGTTATTTATCGTTTTTGTTTGATATTATAGAGACATTGTTTATGTATTAGACAATCCGAAAAGCAATATAGTATAGATATATAAAAGTTGATCATGTCGCATGAACTAAAAGCCAGGGAGATCTTTGATCAATTTGCATCAATTAACCCGAAGTTAAATCCGGATGAAAAAACATTGAATCTTGACCAATTCACCACAATTTTGGCGCCATTCTCTTCTGATGTTCCTAGAGGTTCGTATTCGTTGTTATATTTAGCAGCTGACCACGAACGTAAGGGTTACATTGATGAAAAGGATTGGTTGAAATTTATCAAAATCTTAACGTCTAAGGATGGTGAATTCAAGTTAACATTTAATCTTATTGGTAAGGATACAGCTGCTAGTGATAAGATCACATACACTGAATGTATCGAGAAATTGAACAAGATTAACAGGGCTATCGATCCAGCCTACCAACAGAAGATGGTAAAGTTGAATTGGACTTATTTTACCAAGTTTTTTGCCCCACATGGTTCAATTGAATATAGTGATTTTGTCACTTTAATCAATTATTTGCCTATCACCAAGTTGATTGGTAACTTTGAAATGGTTGCCGGTAAATCCGGTGTTATTTCTGATAGTGAATTGTATGATTTGTTGACGAGAAATCTCAACCACAAATTGTCGTATAAATTGAGACACAATTTGATTACCTTACCAGATTATTTCAATAAAAAGGAATTTAGTTTGAGTAATGTGCTATTTATTTACAACTGTTTGAATAAAATCGATCTTATCAACGAAGTTATTGCTAATACTCCACCAACTACCAGCGACAAAGGTGACATTTTAATTGACAAGAATGACTTATACAATCACCTTAATGATCATTTATTGAAATCTTCAAACTTCAAGCCAGTGTCAACACCAGAATTAGATTTATTATTTCATTTGATCAATAAGAATGAAGAAACAATTCCCCGTAAAGAATTGATTTCAGTATTGAATCCAAATTATGATAATAACTACAAGACATTGTATTCAATCTTTGAACATCCCGCAGCACAACCTGTTCAGGATGATAATTTTTCTTTATGGCCTATTTTTGATTCATTGTACTCCTTTTTCTTAGGTTCAATTGCTGGGTGTATTGGGGCTACAGTTGTTTACCCAATTGATCTTGTTAAGACTAGAATGCAAGCTCAAAGACACAAAGCTGCTTATGCAAATTCTTTTGATTGTTTCAAAAAAATTATCAAGCATGAAGGTTTAAAGGGTTTGTACTCTGGTTTAGGAGCTCAATTAGTGGGTGTTGCTCCAGAGAAGGCTATTAAATTGACTGTTAATGATTTGGTCAGAAAGATTGGGACAGATGATGATGGTCAAATCACCATGAACTGGGAAATTCTTGCTGGTATGTCTGCTGGGGGTTGTCAAGTTGTTTTCACGAATCCTTTGGAAATCGTTAAAATTAGATTACAAATGCAAGGTGGTGCTTCAAAGGCATTGAACCCAGGTGAAATCCCTCATAAGCGTCTTAGCGCTGGTCAAATTATTAAGCAATTAGGTATTAAGGGTTTATACAAGGGTGCAACTGCATGTTTATTGAGAGATGTTCCTTTTTCTGCTATATATTTCCCAACCTACGCTAATTTGAAGAGAATATTATTTAATTTTGATCCTAATGATGCAAACAAGAAGCATAGATTAGACTCATGGCAATTATTGATTGCCGGTGCTTTAGCCGGTGCACCAGCTGCGTTCTTTACTACTCCAGCGGATGTGATTAAGACCAGACTTCAAGTAGAAAGTAAGTCCAATGAAGTTAAATATCGTGGTATTGGCCATGCTTTCAAGGTCATCTTAAAGGAAGAAGGTGTTGGAGCTTTCTTCAAGGGTTCGATTGCCAGAGTGTTTAGATCTTCTCCTCAATTCGGGTTTACTTTAGCATCTTATGAACTTTTGCAAAACTTATTCCCATTGCATCCAGCAAATACCAAGGAATCCAACTTCAAAGCAATTAGTGGATATCCTGGTGTTTACAACTTAACTAATGATCAAGTTTACAATTCACAGAAAGGAAATAGACTCATGATGTTCAACAAAGACAAGTTATTTGAAGCTCATGGGTTAAGCTATGATAAGTCTGGCTTGAATGACGCATTGATTAAATTACCTGCCGAGTACGTGTATAAATCGCAAGATACCATCAAATTGTTATTGGATATCGATTACAAATTCGGAAACTTCAATTATGATTCATATTTGAATTATTTATCTTTCAAGCGTGGATTTTAATTGTTTTATGTTGTTTTATTAGTTAGTAATTTTATGTTTTAATGTGATTAGACGTCTTTATTTTTGTTTCTTGCTTTTTAAAAAATGAATTATGAAATTTATATAGTATATATATTTAACAATAGAATCATTTATAATACTTCAATAAGTCGAATAATTGCAGTTCTAACCTTCGAGCTATCGTTGCCTCTTAGATACAACAGAATTTATGCTTAGGTGTATTAAGTTTTGGTGTAATGATTTCCTGGTGAAAGAAGGAATTTAACACTGCTGTTATAAAGCCATTATTCACATCTTGGAACACATTATGTTAATAATCGTAATTGAATCTATTTTGTTTTACGAACTTATTCAAAATATCTACTTGAAAAATAAATTCACCGTTTTTATGCCTCGAACTTCGTATACTTTGCTTAACTCTCCTCCTTATTCTATCTTCCTGCCGCTCATCAATTATCCGATTGCGCATATGCTGTTCCTGAGTATCAGGGAATTCGCTTACCATGAACCCGGGAGGCGAAGGATATTTATCTAAAACCTGCGATTCTGATAAACCTACTGAATCATTGTCGCTTTCTATTACTTCATTGTTCCATGTCAATTGAGGAACTTTTGGTAATGGGCCGGCCAATTGATAGAATCTATCGACATTATTCTGGTCATTTTTTGAAAGAGCATTTTCCTTTACTTGATTTGGTTTTACATAATTGGGGTTCGGTTTAAAATCATTAATGATCCATTCCATTTCATTTATGGGATTAGAATTGAGGTCGATCTTGAATCCGGGTGAATGCTTAAATTTTGACTCATAGTATTCTTTCAAGTATGCTCTTCTCTGGAGCTTTGTATAATGGCTCGGAACTTTAGGCTGTAATTGCGATTGTGATTGCGAATTAACCTTCGCTGTAATATTCTCAAGCGGTTCTCTTTTAACTTTAATAGGAGGCTTTTTGATAAGCTCAAAGCTGTCTAGTGGGAACTCGTCCTGAGAGTCTTCTATTTCATCAAAGTTTTCTTTATTCTCTTCTTTAACTACTATTTGCGATGTATTACCCAGTTTCTTCGAAAGATCTATTTCATTCTCGTTATCCTGGGACGAATATTGCGTTGGCAACATATCGAACTGTGAATCGGTGAAGTCATCTCTGTCGAACGGCTTTCCTTGATACATTAACCTGGGTGATCCGTTGCTATCTTTATTATATACTGGCCTTTCAATAGAAGCATTTGAGTCTGATGAACACCGTGTGGGTAATTGTGAAGGGTGATTTGTAGTATGTTTCATATCTGAAGTTGGCTGTGTTGATGGCTTCACTGTCTGGCTCAATGGCGAGTCGTCTTCAGAAATAGTTTCATTAGGTTCACTTAATTTTCGTTTCTTATTCGTAAGAGGTGTCATTGGTAATCCTTCTCTTGCATTTTGGAATACTCTGATCTTCCTGGTCTTGTTTATCGGCGGCACGCCAACATTTTGAATGATTTCCTTAAATTCGTTATTCACGGCTTCTAACTCGCTAGCCTCATCTCGCAAAGCCTGTATGTCCGATTTGTACTGTATTCTAATAGACCGTAGCTGGTTTTCTTGTTTTTCAAGCTTCGTCTTAAGCTCTCTATTCTCTTGTAATATATCTTGGATTTGTCTTCCTACGAGTTCGTGATATACCTCAATTGTTTCAGGCAGTTCTTTCATATTGATACTAAACGATTTGGCATAATAGATATTTGTATTATATACGCCAGATACTGCAATATGACTTTAAATGTTCGTTATTAAGCTGATATTATGTTGTATACTGAGTCTAAATATTTGTTTATCTTCTGGAAATGAGATTTTGTGTTCCATTTTTTTTTCATGAGTAAAAACTTCGTTCCAACCAAAACATCTATACAAATCAATAATAAAATTAACGGAAACTTAATCAAAAGAATATACAATGTTCGGCTCTACTACTGCCAATTCAACTGCTCCGTCTTTTGGTGGATTCGGTAATACCAATAATAGTAGTACAGGTGGTGGCTTATTTGGCGCTGGCAATAAACCACCCGCTTCGAGTGGAGGTGGATTATTTGGATCATCTAGTAATGCCACTAATACAAACACTACAAATGCTTCGGGCGGTGGGTTATTTGGAGGTAATAATACAAATACAAGTAGTGGATTTGGAGCTGGAAACACAAATACACAACAAAGCGGAGGACTCTTTGGAAGTAAACCTGCTACCACGACAGGAGGAGGATTATTTGGTGCATCGAATAGCAATGCACCATCTGGTGGAGGACTATTTGGAGCCAATACCAATGCAAATACTAATAATGCGAGTGGTACGACTGGTGGAGGATTATTTGGGGGTAATACTAGTACGAATCAACCACAACAACAACCTCAACAACAACAACCACAACAAGGTGGTGGTTTATTTGGAGGCGCCAGTAATACAAGCCAACAAACGGGCGGTGGGTTATTTGGAGGCTCCAGTAACACAAATCAGCAACAGGGTGGTGGATTGTTTGGATCGAAACCACCTGCATCATCAGGTGGATTATTTGGGGGTAATGCTAATACGAATCAACAACCACAACAACCACAACAGCAACAGCAAGGTGGTGGATTGTTTGGTGGCTCTGGTAATGCAAACCAGAGTGGAGGACTATTCGGATCAAAGCCACCAGCATCATCAGGTGGATTATTTGGAACTGGCAGTAACACCTCGAATCAACAGTCGGGAGGACTTTTTGGTAGCAGTAATACCAATAATCAACAAGCTGGTGGACTCTTCGGAGGTAATACTGCAGGCCAACAAACTGGCGGCTTATTTGGTTCATCGTTGAATAAACCAGCTGGAGGAGGATTGCTCAATAACCAACAACAACAGCAGCAGCAGCAACAACAGTTGACTGCAATGACTAGAGTAGGTGATTTACCAGAACCAATCAAAAGAGAATTACAGGAATTCGATAAGTATATCAACACACAACACCTTATTGCCACAACATTACAATCAGATTTATCCAAGCATGATAGACTAATTAAATCCATTCCAAAAGATACGAATTATTTGTATACAAAATTATCGTCCACCAAACAAGCATTAAAGTTTGATTCGAATCAATTATTAAACTTGAAAGAAGTCAATAATGAGTTGATTGAAGACATAAATAAAATCATGCAGCTTATCATTCAATTATCTACCCCAGGCACAAAGTTATCGTCATCGTTCCAGTTGAACGAGTTTTTCATCAAAAAGATAAAAAAGTATCACGAAGTATTGAACAACTACGAACTAATTGTAAATGAAGCAGAACAAGTCATAAACGGTTTAGAGAGACTGTGTGTCGATGGATTCGGAGGCTTATTCAATATTATTGAAGTTATTAAGTCACAATTTAATTTATTTATGGAACTATGTGAAACGATGGCTCAGTTACATAATGAAGTAAACAAGATAGTCAAATAAAAGACTTATTAGAATAATTCGCCAATACTTGTGAAATATATAATTTAGGCAAACGACACCGTACAATAAGAAGAAAAATGTAGTTGAACCAGCTTGTAGTACGCAATACAAATGATCGTGGTAAATGTAGATAATGTGAACTGCAACAAGCGATTTTGTGTAACTGATGCGTTTTCTATAAAAAATGCATCAACTTTCCATATTTAGTTTGTTAATCATAGGAGTAAGAATGTCTCGAGCTGACTATCTCTCAAAATATCTCAGCAAGGATGACAAAAAGAAGAAGAAGAAGCTGAAAGATCAAAAATCAACAAATGTTGTTGTAGAAAAAGATTTGCTAGATATGGGCGATTTCAATGATGAAGCTGAAGGGACTCCAGTACCGGTGATACTAGGAGCAGAACCTAAAGAATACAAAGGTTTCAAAAGAATAGATAATGGCGAACAGGTATCACCAGAAACACAACTGGTTACAGCACAAGATTCGATTCCTCAACAGGAAACAGTTTATAGAGACAAATTGGGGAACATCGTAGACATCGAAACAAAAAGAAAGCAAATGCAGCATGAAAAGGAACAGGAGAAGATACGAAAACGCCAATTAGAACAGAGTATAAATCAAGGTGACTTGCAGAAAATTGAGGATGCTGAGGTTGCGGCTAAGTTAGGCCAAAATAAGTCGTTCTCGGTTTCGACGAGAGACTCTGAATACAACGAACTCATGAAGTCGAAACAGCGATTCGACGACCCCTTGCAGTCGTTTTCGAACCAGAAACAAACGGTTGCCACGTCGAAAACCGGCAAAATGTACTACAATAAAGGTGTGTCTCTTCCCAATCGATTCAACATAAGAGCAGGATTTTTTTGGGACGGAATCGATAGGTCCAACGGATTCGAAGACTTAGTCGTCCGCAAGCGAAACGAAGTGTCTTACTCCAAACGGGATACATCAGACACATATGATTTAGACATGGACGATGATCTCGATTAGCATTTTTCCTTACTCGTGTTATCATGTCACCGTCACCATCGTCATCTATCTCGTCGCCAGTCCCCATTATGCCCATCCCCATCACTATTCATTGCCACCGTCACTAGCATTTCCCATATTTCCCACCTTCGTCATCTTCAGATCCATTGCTCCTTGGCTCTGGCCCCTCTTGTAAGCTTATATAGTCTTATCATACGCTAATTTTAACTCCGGAACTGTATATATTTTTTGCATTGTTCCCCAGAACTGTAACTACGAGAATATCATCACTACGCCCAAAGACTCAAAATAACTGCTAACCACCTCAAATACTCCCTCCCCTCCTTCCAGCTATGTCCGTATATCCTGATTCAAACAACACAATATCGAGCAATCCACGATCAACCACCAAGCCAATCCCACTCGCTCTAAATCATATGGACCGCCTGCCTATTACCGGCGTGCCGGGTGCGCACCGCAGCCATTTTCAACAGGTTTTAGTCTCTGGTCCATTCCCACTCCCCATCATTGATCTATGGTCCCCAGTAGTAATTACTTCGTCATGGATATCGGTGGACCCTCCAACCTTCTATCGCGTAAGGTGTCACCGGTATTCAGAACCTCCGCCATAGTTACTATTAATAGTCCTGGAATGCCCCTAATCATGCTGCCGCAATTTGCCGGTGCGTTAGAGCACCAGGCCTCTAAATCCCAATAGAACAAATTCCACAATAGGCTACAATTTACCTACAATAGCCTTCCTTTACATAACCCTATATAACCATATTAACCATCACAACCCAACACCCACCGTACTCACATCTTGTCTTTTGCCACGCTCGTGTCAATTTGCCATTGCCAACCCTTCGATTCGAAACTTTGTTCTTGCGTATTCTATTCTTGGTTATTTCCAGGCACTGTCGCATTCATTCCCGTTATTTACTCTCCGTCCATTATTCTCTTAACTCTCCATTCTTCGCTCTGGCACCACCGGCTTTGGCCTATGTTTCTACATTCTTGCGGTGTTACCACCGGGTATGTATGTGGGACACGCTACCGCTTGGTGTCAAGCATCTCGTCTTTTTCTCTTGTATGTAGTATTGCGACATGCGATTTACTGAGAAAGGAGTTATCTTTAAATGAAAGGTTTCTAGGAGCGTTGTGGTGTTGGTGCCTGTAGAGGCTATACGAGATGCCGGTATAACCAGAAACACACCATACTCTACATTGGTGGACCTCCCAGGATCTCCGTCTGTATTACGTGTTGCTAGTACGAAATAATCCTTCGTCTACGCCTGCCAGCGGTGCACCGGGACAAGGAAGTAGCAAGGCTAATGCATCACCGAGCGCACATAAAATCCAGTTACTACAGATGGCAATTGTTCGTTTCCTAGATCAAATTTCTTTTAAAAGACTCTAGATCAATTATATTATTATTTTTTTTAGGTGTTTTAGTTTTGTAAAATCAGGAAACACCCTTGAAATATGTGTTTTCAATAATTGGGATTTAATTTGAAGTTTATGATTTTATAAATTATTTTATTTCTAATATATAATCTTTAGATCCTTAGAATAGAAATTTATTATATATAGATAATCTTTACATTGATCTACAAGCAAGACGCCAACATGTCAGATACTAGACACCAACAAAATTTATCTATAAACTCTATCAATTCGTTGATAGAGCCCACAACACCACCTAGTTTTGGCAAGACGCTGATCTGGGACAACGGGAATGGCGGCAAGGGAACAGGAGCTGTGGGTGGCTACAATGGACTCAATAGCATGGGGGGTAGTGGGATCCATAACTTGACTAGCGGCAATGGAGTTGGAAATGGAGTTGGAAGTGGAATTGGCGGCCAGATGGGAGGAAATCTTTCGGGTCCTAGTGGCGGCCAGATGGGCAATCAGATGGGCGGCATCGTTGGCGGAGGCGCCGGGGCGGTCCAAGGAGCACACGCCAATGGCCACGGACCAGGAGATCACAAATTGGACAAGGAGTATTTGTCGGGACTCAACAAGGTGCCATTGGATCAGTTGAGACTGGAGATCTTGAAGTTGGCCAAGGACCAATATGGATGTAGATTTCTCCAAAAGAAAATTGATGAGAATGTGATACCGAGCTCTCAGATCCGGATGGAAAATTTCAAGGTTATCTTCAAGGAAGTCTACCCCTTTATCTACGAGTTGATAATTGATCCCTTTGGTAACTACCTTGTACAGAAATTGATCGATTACTGTGACGATGCCAATTTGAATCTCATTTTAGAAATTTTGCAGTACAACTTATTCCAGATCTCCATAAATCAGCACGGAACAAGAGCGTTGCAAAAGATCATCAATAGCTTAAATAATGACTATCAGTTGAGCTTATTGATCAGTGGCTTGAATCCATTTATTATTGAATTGATTAAGGACTTAAACGGTAACCATGTTATCCAAAAGATCCTCAACAAATATTCGCCTGAGGATTGCCAATTTATTTACGACTCGATCATTAATGACTTATATGTGGTTGCTACTCACAAGCATGGGTGTTGTGTATTGCAAAAGTGCTTGAATCACGTTAATAGTATGCAATTGGTCCAGTTCAGCCAGAAGATCTTAATGTTCGAGACTTTCCGTAAGTTGACGAACGATCAATTTGGTAATTACGTTTTGCAATACCTTATTTCGATCAACTCAATCTCAATTAACTTAAAGATGTATGAAAACTTTATGAAGTTCGGTGTCAATAACTTGTGTAATTTAAAGTTTTCGTCCAATGTGGTTGAGAAGTTCTTGAAGAACTGTTATGTTAATGAACCTAATAGTCCAGCTTTCTCCAACTTGAAACTTGAATTGTGCTTACAGGTTTTACAGGGCGATTTAAATAAGATGATTAATGATCCATTTGGTAATTATGTTATTCAAACTTTGATTGATATTTTAGTGAACCCATCCATTAACTATACTAATCCTTTGAATGAAAATTTATTGGTTTTGTTACCTTTAAACTTTAACGTCTCAAATTTAACCAATTCACAAATCCAGATTGCCATTATCAAGAAGTGGTTTGTTAACTGTAAGATTGTTTCCAGTTTTGGCAAAAGAATTCAGCTGAAAATCAATTCGGTTTTGAACGGTACTACTAACAATAGTAATGGTTCCACTAATGCCACTAACCACCAGTCGGTTAATTTTAAAAACTATAATTTCCATGCGTTGAATATGAATGCCAATGGTGAATTTGTTAACTCAGAATATCCTCCTCATTTATCTCAACAACCTCATAAAATGCACCAAAGAAATTTGTCAATTCCTTTACAAAGTGCACCATTTACTCCATTACAGCCTATGTCGGCCAATAATTACACTTTAGGAAACGCTGTAAATGGTGGTGTCGTTACCCCAGGAAACACTGAACATCCATCTAATTTACTCAACCCTAATATGTCTAGTTACACGTCTTTGTCGAATTTGAATATTCCACATATGAATAATCATATTTCCAACAATCCACTGGCTAACGATTTTACGATTCAAAATTCCTATTTTAACGGAAACCCTGCTAATAACAACCAAATGAGTCCTCAATTTGTACTTTCTCCAAATATAAAATATTACCAAAGTTAAAAACTCCACGTTGCATTATATTTTAATTCTTGTATATGTTTTCCAGATTGAATCATTACTGCTATTCATGATTTTTTATTACTTGTTCAAATCGGTTATATATATTTATTGTTATTGTTTACTATGTTCATATTGATAAAAGGCTACATTGTTGAAAATTGAAAACAAAAAAAAATTGTTACATCTTCCATTTTATAATTTATTTAGGGATTGTATTATGTGTTATATTATAGTTATAAATGTCATATTATTTATAAAATTCTAATGAATCTATGAGCGTCTTTTCTTCACTTTATCCCAGACTGATCCGGGTTTTCTCTTTCTTGATGTTTCATCAAGCTTTCTACTATTATTGAACATCGACCAATCTTCACCTGCAAATGTATTGGCCATATCACGTTGCTTTTGATGAAATGATTTCTTAGTCATGGTATTTGGCAATCTGGTAAAGTTATCTTCTTCGTATCTTTGAATTTCTCTTTCCTTTTTCTTGTCAAAATCTGTCTTCACTCCCAGCCTTCCGTTATCTACAATAGTAGAACCGATGGAACTTTCTAGTTGTGGCAAATCCGAATTTTCTCTTAAATATTCTTCCATACTTTGAAGTTTTCTAGTGTTACTGGTTTTCGAACCGGTGGCTGTTGGGTCTGCCTTTGGTGGAGCCATTGCTGAAATCTTTGGTGGCTTATATTTCTCAGCTGATTCACTAGCCTCCTCCTCTCTTGGTTCTCTTGATGTAGAAGATTTGGATTTGGATTGCGTTAATTTCGCAAGAGCTGCTGAATCAGGTCTATAGGATAATGCATCATCTTCTTCTTCACTTGACTCACCGTCATCATCATTGCCTTGTTCGTTATTTTCGTTATTTTCTTGTGCCGTTTTTATGGCCTGACTTTCATCCGCCTCCATTCTATTGTACGCTCTAACCATTTTGTCTAGTTGATAATTAAGCTTCTTCTCTAAGGGCTTAATACCTTTTTCTAAACAAACCCTTTGTGTGATCGAACTTGCGATTGACTTCAATTTTGCATCTTCTATGTTGTCATCTTCCTCACTTAATTTCTCTACATGTGCCAAAATAATCAATACCAAATTATTCAAGTACGATAACAACGAATGACTCTTTAAAGATAATAATGAGACCCCTTCAAGTTTGTCTATGTTTAACTTCTGTAACAAATTCTGGATCAAATCTGGATAACTTTCACCTTCGCTATCACTGGCCTTCAGGATTGTGTCAATAGATGTTTTAGTAACATTAAGGGACGTTATAATTCCCTTCAACAACTCGTCAACACTTTCGATTTGTTTACTCATGCTATGCTTATGCTATACTATGCTATTCCTATATTTTGTAAAGCTTTGTAGTTGTAGGATACTAATTCTTTTAATATTTCACTGATTATGTAATGTCCTGAAAATTTTTGAGATGAGGAAAATACGATAGATAACATACGACGGTTTTGTGTAAGTTTAAATTTTTTTTTTTACTAGAGCTGATATGAAAAATATACTAGATGGCATCTTAGGAATTCTTTTTCATAGTTTATTCGTGGTGACATTATAATTTTGATTTACAATGCCTCAAAACGAATATATTGAGCAGCACATCAAGCAGCATGGGAGAAGATTAGATCATGAAGAGAGAAAGAGAAAGAAGGCAGCCAGAGAAGGACACAGAATAGCTAAGGATGCCCAAGAATTGAAGGGATGGAGAGGTAAGCAATTTGCTAAGAAACGTTATAGTGAAAAGGTTGCTATGAAGAAGAAGATCAAGACACATCAAGAATCCAAGGTCAAGGGTCCAGCCACACCTAAGGAAGATGATGGTGAAGCATTGCCTACCTATTTGTTAGATCGTCAAACTAATAATTCAGCCAAAGCAATTAGTTCTTCGATCAAGCAGAAGAGATTAGAAAAGGCCGATAAGTTCGCTGTGCCATTGCCAAGAGTTAAAGGTATTTCTGAAGAGGAAATGTTTAAGGTTATTAAGACTGGTAAGCAAAAGTCCAAGTCGTGGAAAAGAATGATCACCAAGCATACATTTGTTGGTGAGGGATTTACCCGTAGACCTGTGAAGATGGAAAGAATTATTAGACCATCTGCTTTAAGACAAAAGAAGGCTAATGTGACACATCCAGAATTAGCGGTCACTGTGTTTTTACCAATCTTGGGTGTCAAGAAGAATCCGCAATCGCCTATGTATACACAATTAGGAGTCTTAACTAAAGGTACTATTATTGAAGTTAATGTTTCCGAATTAGGTTTGGTTACTGCTGGTGGTAAAGTTGTTTGGGGTAAATACGCACAAATTACGAATGAACCTGATAGAGATGGTTGTGTCAACGCTGTTTTATTAGTTTGATTAGAGATATTCAATTCGGTCTTTAGTAGCTACTTACTTATGATTTTGCATTTTGTATTTTAGCCTTTTAGTTATGATTCTGTCCGTTAATTTAAATTGCATCGGTTTATATATAGTTTTTATTTGCAAATTATTACTAAATATAAAATTACTATATTGGAGATTGCCAGGGATTATTATTCAATCAGATAATTCGTCAAATAGGTCTAAACAAAGGATATTCTTTTTCCCAAGAGATCTGAACCCACAATTTAAAATCAATTTTCCGTTTTCCCTAATTATATCCCACTGACTACTCAACAATTTCGTGCCAACTAAAAAGCACAATCCACTAATATTTTGCTTATTACTTATAAATGGTAATAGATCACAGTATTTGCTAATTATTTCATGCGGAGAATGCAATCTGTTGTTTAGTTTAAATGGATGAATGCTATATTCGTGATGTAGATTATCCTTTCTCAAATTTGTCAAAAATTCTTGTCTAATCCGTTGCAAATATTCGTAACATCCTTCCGCACTCAATTCTACTAAATCTTCGTATCTTTCACTTGAAACCTTTTTCAAATCATCTAATTCAATAAACCTTTGGGATTCTAATCCACAGGTTGAAAATGCAAAACTCCATAATACCAATGTTGCAATACCCACTGCATACATGCCATCAAAATAATCGTCATCAACGTTCCAATCTATGAATTCAACGTTCGAAGTTTTCTCATGCAGGCTCAATGGTTTTAGCATCAATTCCCACAATAACAAGTAGCAATGAATAATACTCTTTAAGTTTACTAGATCATTAGTTGATCTCTTGGTTTGTGGATTCTTTAACCAAATACTATTGAGTTTATTTTGAACAATGGCATGATCTTTCATTGTAGCACTTACACTCATATTTGCAGGAGATCCACCAAATATTGCTATATCGTAATGATTGATATCAGCCATGCCTATTATCTGAGTTAAATGATACATTGGAAATTGGCATTGTGATTTAATAATACAGTCCATGGTACTTGAAGGAGTCTTGAAGACTTCTGAACAACAGTTGCCATTGATTTCAAGATGCCAATTATCGAAAGCCTTGGACAACACCTCTTTCCATAATACAAATCCTTGGGATTTATTATTTCCATTCATATTAGGTAGCAAAGACGAGCTATTTTGTAAGTCAGTTTGTTGCATTTGATACATGATCGAAAATAACCCAGCAAATAGAATCTTTCTTGTGAAGAGCGATAATTTGAATTCAGCTTTAGTTTCTTGGCTAGATAGCGTTTTATATGGCTTCAACAATTTCTTAAGGACATTTAAAAAACTTTCCCCATTCCTTATCTTTAGAGAGTTATTGTGATCCATATCTTTTCTTTTCTTCATTAAATCTCCATTTTGTCGGTCTTGGTTTGGTTTCTGTAACTTCTTTTGTCTCTTTACAATTTTTCTAAAGGACCCATTCACTTCTGTGGATTCCCAAAGATGATCATCATCACATGGTAAATTTAGAAGTTGTAATTGATAGAACATAATTTGAGGGTTATGGCGGAACTTAATGTAATCAATAATGTCCAAATAGAATGTCATAAATGTAATTCTTTTCATTGATTCGGATTCTACCCATTTCACAAATAAATCATAATCCCTAGTGTCATTATTATCTACTGACATATCATTTGGTGTATCAGATTCGTCCGCGCTTGTGTTGGAACCGCTTGTCAGATTTGTTTTCTTAGTGGTGGTTGCTGGATTCCCACCCAACAAAGGCGATCTTCGCAATAGCTGAACGGTGGTTCCATGATGTATATGCCCTCTCTCGTGTAATCTTCTCAGAAGAAAGTTCTTTTCACACCACTCTAATATATTCAAACTTTGCAAAATCCATAACTTGACAGGTGATTTAAAATCTTCATGTTGAAAAATCATGAATCTCAAAGGAGTAGCAATGCTAAGGCAAAACTTAAACTCGGGTGACTTCTTTCTTCTTTGTTGTTTATCGTTTGACTTATCAGATGACGAACAATAATTACAGCCAACAATAATCATGGGCAAAAGCAATAGGGGCTCAGCCGTCTTTGTATCAAAAGATGGTCGATGAAGAATTGTAAACTGGGGGTGAAAAATAGACCAATATGTAGATAGATAATAAGAAAACCTATTCTCTATACTATAATCTTCATTACCCGTGTCTGACTGTTCAAATATTTCATCAATCATCTTCCTTGAAATGGTAGATAAAGACTTTATTAATTTATCGACAAGGAGGGAATCAATGAAAATATGCTTGTTCTTTTCAATATTATTTTTGTCTGGCATTAAGAACTTTTGCAAAGATGCAACTGTAGATTTCCTATTCTGATCTCCTGAAATTGGGCTGTTCTGTAGGTCACTCGATAACACTGGAGATGTGGATTCATTAGTAGTGGTAGGCGAATTAGAGGATCCTGTTGAACTCATATTAAACTTATAATTTAAGCCTGATAACAATGGCTCACTTCCATTAACTGATTGAGCTTGGTAATTCCTCAAGAAAACTTCATCTAGAGGGTTATCATCGTTCGAAAATATATTTACGTCTTGCATTCCATAATTATTCATTGATTGAATGTTGGTTTGTGGATTTTGATAATCATTATGGTAAAATGGAGCCAATACTTCTTCCTTATACTGGTTATCTTGCTGAGGAACTTGCTGCTGAGGGACATGCGGTTGCGGTACTTGATGTTGTATATGTTGATTATTTATCTGTTGTTGTTGAATATGCTGTTGTTGTATGTGGTCACCTATAGGAGAAAACTGCGAGCCACTATATGGAGAGGGAATAGGGCCCTTCACAGTATTATCAAATACCGCGCCTGAGTTAAGTTGAACTTGAGAATGAATATTATTCGGACTTGGGTCAACTATTTGGTTGATACCTTTCAAGTTTTCCCGCTTCATATTTTCTGATCCTGGTGTAACGATCATATTTTCGGGCGACTCAGTAAACAACCACGATAAAATATCACTTTGCGACTGAGGTACATTATTACCAAAATTAGGTACTTTATACTGATCGGCGTACATATCTTGCACATGAGAAGCCATCGCATTGTTCTGAGGATGGCTATACGGTGCCCTTCCATTAAAATTTCTGGGTTCTTGTTGTTGGAATCTTGCATCTTTAATTGCATTTATGGGAACCTGATTGCCTATTGTATTGCTTAATGAGCTATTGACAGGCGGTAAATGTGACGTTCCATTATGTGCATGTTCTGCATGATTTACGCCATGGATTAAATTAGATATTTGCAAGGGTGATTGTGTCTGGTAGTTAGGAAGTATGATGGGTGAATCTCCAGGTGAGGCCTGAGGCGAGATACTGCTTTTAGATGGGTTAGAAAAACTAGATCTGACACTTTTTGTATAGTTTTTATTCGCTATTTCGAGGTGCCTTTTAGCGTGGCGTTCTTTCAAGTCCTTACGAACAAACGTCTTCCCACATTTCCTCTTGTTTCCTCCGTAATCTTCGATAATAGCTTCGCATTCAAATAGCTCTTTTGGTTCATGATTCAAATGATGTCTTGCTAGATGATCCGATCTTGTGAATACCTTATCACAATCTGGACAGGGAAAGCTGCCTAACGTTCTCTTTTTCTTCCTAGGTTTATCTGTCGGGCTATTCTTATTTACTCCGTTGCTGCTATGGGCATCGGGACTCTCACCATATTTTGACATAATATGTTTCAATTCACAGAAGTTAGGTCTAACTGCTGAGCATATACCGCCAATGCTAGCCACTTACCTATATGTAAACCTAGATGTATTAATTAAGTAGGATTAAATGAAAACTAATACATGGTAACAGGATCAGTATTATATTCTCCACCTTATTTTAGTTTCAGCTGTTGGTCATGTGATGACAATACGTAAAAGTTCGTTTAAGACCTTCGATCGGTTAATCTCCTATGGTTATACTTGATATATGATGATAATTGAGTAGATATCAAGTAATTACGTGGTATGTTTACTTAAATGATATATACGAATTATCATAAGTTTCTGAATGTGATTCTTCGAATGAGAAGTATCATACTGGTGAAAAAATAGTGCCGATCCAAGATCTTAAGATTTTGGATCCTTAATAGATCTCTTGACAGTAAACGGGTTTAATGGTATTCCTAAGTACTGTTTTGTATGGATTCTAATCATTTATTTGTCATTTCTACAAGAAATATTTAAGAGTACATAAATGTTCAATGCAATTTACTATTCAATCTACCGATGGAGGTCTAACATATGGATGAGATCTACCGTTAGTTGTTCGGTTTCTAGACGTTCTTTCTGGGCCACCTCTTCCATTTGATGCAGGCAGTGAACTCCGTGTATCCGAAAAGGATACATGAGATGAGCTTTGCTCGTTTTGGTCTTCACCAATCGGTTGGATGGTGTCGCGTCCCGCATCAGTCTCCAGAGTAGTACCAGTCTCAGTGTTTGAGCTACGGTTTGTTTCAGATGCATTATTTCTTCTGGTTTCTCTCCTCAAGTCTCGAACTCGGCTTCTGAGTGGCATAAAAGGTACGCTGTTATTACCTTCAGAAAATGGGAATCTTCTTGGGACAACCAAATTTGGCTCTCGGCTCGTTAAAGAGCGTGGTGAGTTACCATCTACTGTAAAATATGGCGTTGCCCAATCTTGATGCATGTATGAGTCTGTCAAAGGTGTTATAGATGGGTTGAAAGGTCTCCTGAATGGGTTAAAAACGTCGGTCAGATGGTTTAAAATATGATCAACCACTTGTTCCTCGTTGGAATTAAAGTTATAGAAACTATTGTCTCGAATGTTGTTTCGTCTGGCAATTTTTGGGTCTGTTTCTTTCAGAGCCTCCACCTCTTCACGACACAAAGGACAACTAACGTTACCCTTCAACCATTCAATAATGCACGATTTCCCAAACACATGATCGCAATTTGGCATTTTGACTGGCATATGTGACACCTCTTCTTCTTTTTCTTTATCTTGACTCTCTTCCATGTTTTCTTCCTCCGCATATCCTGGTAGTATTTGATCTGGTCTTGCATTTTCTAATGTACTTAAGTTTCTAGACGGAAACCTTGAGCTGATAAGAGCACCTTCGTCTACAGGGAAAAACAACGAAGGATCATTAAATTGTTGAGCATGCTCCATTGACTGAATATTATTTATATTGTAAATGTTATTCAAATTCTCACATATTGATGCATTCTGTTCTCTAAGATCGCTGTACATACTCGAACTTCCTTGGGCAGTATTACTATTCTCTTCTTTCACATTCTTACTTTCCTTCTTGTTTCTTGCTTGATAAGGGTCGAAGCAAATAGGACAATTGGGATCCGAAACTGATGATAAATCAAGTTCTGTTAAACTATTTATTGCATCTTCCGATGCAGCTTTCTTCTTAGTTCTTATCCCACTAGCACTCAAGGCTCTATCAAGAACGTCTCTTAACCATGTTGGCAAATCTGAATTCATATTATTAGCTGCGTCTATATCAACATCGATAATCGTGGCCCCCATAAAGTTCGGCGGTCTATCTGAAGGATCCATTATGTTTGATAACTTTTAGAACTATTAATAATCGTACAGCTTATATTAAAAGGAATTTATAATACTTCATGACAACTTGGCTAGTTTGCGAAAATCACTGATAAAATCGCGGAATTACAAATATCGATCTACATACAATCAGGTGTTTTGCAAAAGAATAAATATATACTTAAACTATACAAATTAGAACGAAATGCTAATAAGAAGATAAAAAATGTAGGTTATCTATAGAAGTACGACCTATTTTACAACGAAAGCCAAAATGTCTCTAACATAGTTTCTGCGGCTGGTACTATGAGCAATATTTAGTGAACCGAAATAGTAGATTATTAATGTAGGAAGCCCTAGATACAATAAGTAGCCATATCGAACTTATAAGTATTGAGCTCTTAAATTGGTTACCATAATTTGCTTGTCTGGAGGCAAAGAACGAATTTGATCTACAGGCAACGACAAAACTTGGGCGATTAAGTCTGCTTGATCCGGTGCCATAGCAGACAATTTTGCAACTGTCCCTGGAGGCAAATGAGGCCATCTGGATGTTTGCGGCGTAGGTGGAAGCGATGGCTGTTGTTGGAGTTGACCATAAGGATTTGATATTTGTTGGACACCGGGTATTTGCGATAATGATGGTTGTTGTGGAACTTGTTGCATGTGAGGATGCATTTGATTATGCATCTGATTTTGCATTGAAGGCTGCATTGGTGCTTGCATTGGCTGTTGCTGAGAAACTGGAGTGTTTGACGTAGACTTCATGGATTCGGATATGACATCCGCGTCTATGAACCCCATGAGTAATAAGGCTTGGGCTGCAGCAGTGGCTAACTGAGGTGATAATTGGAAAACATCCACTGCCCTGTTCGCATTAGGGCCGCTCAAAATACTCTTGAGATTTGAAATCAATTCGATAAGTTGCGCAGGTGGGATCTGACTTAATGTCTCGTTAATCTTGTCTGGAACGGCAAATGGTAAATTAGAAGGCTGTGGTAACCCTTGCGATGTCGACAAATAGTTCGACAGCATATGCGAACCGGCATTATTGAACTGATTGTTCTGCGGTTGTTGTGGCACTAATTGAGGTTGAAATTGATTCACTGGTGGGGTGAACGTCGATGTAGGAGTCAAATTTCCATTATTAGCAGGAACTGGCGGACCATTATATAACATCTCCGGAGGCAACTGGACTGTATTTGGTAAATGCTTCCTATCCAACGTTAATATTGGTTTATAATCCGAAGGTCCATTTGATCTCAATCCTTCTTTCGACAACTCAATTCTTAATTTTTTGTATTGACCTTTTTGATTTGGCTGGTTATTCAAAAGTTTTATTTGACTTAAAAGCTGTAATCCCTTCTGAGTGTCCTGGGGTGTTTGGTACTCGACAAAACAAAATCCCTTATTTTTCCCGGCGTAGTCAAACCCTAGTCTAACATCCACGACATTTCCGGATCCACAAACTACCGACTTGATTATATTTTCATCCCACTCGTATGGTAATTGTCCCACATAGAGAACCGTGGAAGCAGTTAATGGCGTACTAGTCTTTCTCGCCATTATCAATAAGAAAAAATATCACTGTATATGTTACTGTAACCGATAATTTTGAGAATAATGGCGATATTTTCGTAAATGCATTTAAATGGAGGTTTGACGAAACTCCAAGACGGTATACGGTTAAAGCAGAAAAATTTCCGATTGAAAAAAAAAAAGAATTCCGATACCGGGAGTCGAACCCGGGTTTGCTCGGTGAAAGCGAACCGTGCTAGCCGTTACACTATATCGGAAGTATCTATGATGAAATAATTCTATTGAACTACTACTTAGTGCCCATTAATTCTAAATCTTCATATAGACTTTATCTATTGCCTATGACTGAATTATTTATTACTGAATTACTTATTACTGAATTGCTTATTACTGAGTTGCTTATTACTGAATTGTTTATTACTGAATTGTTTATTACTGAAAGCAGTCTGATATATGATATATTATTTGATTATTTTACATAGGAGAGACAGATAGACGTCCGTCTCAACGCTGGCAAGCATGCATAGTCAAGAATATTAACTAAAATTCGTACACTATGAAGTGGGTCTCAAAATATGGATTCGATATCCTTTTCTGCAAATGAATCGTCTAATGGTTCTATTGAACACCAGATAAATGAGATCGTAATGCTGCATAGTGTAATATAGGCCATGAAGTACCATATAAGGTGGTATTGGTCAGATCACCCCATATGAGCCGTTTGCAATTTCTGACTTCATTTTGTTTATGATATTTTTCTGGTCCTTCGTTAAAGAATCGATTTCCGGGTCAGATAACTGAGAAACTTGCTTCAATAATTGAACATGGTCTAGCGTCAAACTTTCCAACTCCAATTGTTTCGAGTTAACACATAATTTTACTATTTCTGGAGTAGTGAAGTTTAACAATAAACTGGTTTCCACTAATGCGTGTGCTAGTTGTGGAAATTGGTCTAGTAACTTTTTCATTAAAGTAGGATTATCTTCACTCATTTGCTTTGTTTCCTTCATGAGCTGGTAAGCAGAACGTTGATCGAGACCAGATAATGCGTTTGATATGGCCTGAGGTATGGTTTGGTTATTAAATAATTGTATTCCTAACGGCAAAGCTGGTAATTTGTCTGCATTTCCATTACTACTGTCTGGAAATGCAGAATTATCGTTAGAAAATGAACATTTTATATTTCTATTACCAATTGCCATATTATTCAAGTTTCTTACAGCCGATGCTGCTGTTTCGTGATCGCCATACTTGATAAAGGCGTATCCTCTAGACTTTCCCGTCATGGGGTCAAAAAGTAATTTCAAGTCTATCACCGGCCCAACCGATTTCGCTATTTCTAAAACTTGTTCCTCGGTATGATCAAATGGTATGTTACCAATGTATACGTTTTTAGTCTCATCCATCTTCCTAGTCCAATTGTTGTACTCTTATATTCTTTTAATTAATGTATTAGCACACTCATGTTAAAAATGTGAAGTGAATTTTCATAATTTACACAAAGCCAGCACCAAAACTTTATTGAAATAAAATATATATCTATATGAGATAAAGTAACAGGGTTAGATAGAAAGAGAATGGATGCCAAAGAGATTAAGTCCGCCGTATCTAGTTTAGATAAGTCAACAGATGATGTCACCATTTTGAAGCTTTTAAATATCTTAAATGATGGAGTAGAGCCTACGGAAAAGTTATTGAGAGAGACTAAGGTTGGGGTTGCCGTGAACAAGTTTAGAGGAAGCAGCAACACAGAAGTTAGCTCATTGGTTAAGAAGATGATTAGAAATTGGAGGGAGGTTGTTCAGAATGAAAAAACGAAGAAGAAGACTGGTTCTGCTACACCTGATAAAGATTCCAAACCAGTGAATAACAATACAAAGCAGAACTCTACCGAAAGTAAATTTCACAGCGGGCCAAGAAACCCAAAGACTGACGGAATTAATACTACTCTTTATGATAATACAACGAGAAATGCCTCTGTAAGTGCATTGTATACTGCATTGGCTATTGAACGTAATGACTCGGGTGAACATATATTAGCAGTTAGCCGTGATATTGAAAATGAAGTTTTCAAGGCGGAATACCTGTCTGTGAATGATAATTATAGAAATAAATTAAGAACATTTACAATGAATCTTAGAAATAAGAAAAACCCTGATTTAAGAGACCGTTTATTAACTAACAAAATTAAACCATCAAATTTTATTAAAATGACACCAAGCGAAATGGCGCCGGAATCATTGAAAAAAGAAATTGAAAAGTTACATAAACAGAATCTTTTCGACGCTCAAGGAGCTACTGAAAAGAGAGCCGTTACGGATAGATTTACTTGTGGTAAGTGTAAACATAAAAAGGTAAGTTATTATCAAATGCAAACTAGATCTGCGGATGAACCGTTAACTACCTTTTGTACTTGTGAGAATTGTGGTAACAGATGGAAGTTTTCGTGAACATTATCAGGTTTCCTTGAATTGTAATTTTAAATATTTTTCCTTCTAACTGTATAAATCTTAGTTTTTGTCTTCTCAATTTGTACGTAATACATTATATTTATCACCAAAAAATAGCAAACTACTAGTTTGTTTACGTGAATTGTAATTTTGTTTACTAAAATATTAAAGTGCTTTCATTAAAAGCATTATTATACAAGATCTATTTACTATAAGATTTTTGTCAAGTACGAGATTAAATCAACCTTCGTAACAATTTGGACTGGCTTGTAATCCGCATCAGTCACAATGGCGTTGGAGTTGGTTTCAAAGAATTTGTTTAATAAGGCTAATGATGTATCCATTGTAATTGGTTCGTAACTTCTCTTAGTGAAACCAGACTTCTTAGTGATTGTGAAGGATTTTTCAAAGTCGGCTAATTTTCTGAAATCAATAATAATTGACGAAATAGAATTAGTCATTTGGACCTTCTTGGTAGAAAGAGATTTCAAAATCTTAGATAAAGTGATTAACCCAACTAACTTTCCTGAGTTGTTTAAAACTGGTAATTGGTCGAAGCCATTAGTTTGTAATAAATCAAAAGTTTTGCCAACAGTATCAGATAATGTAACTGTAACAACTGGCGCCTTACCAGCAACCAAATCCTTGATAGTTGTCTTATTCAATACTTCATCAGATTTGTTGGATGCACTTTCATTTTCTTCGATAGGGAACCCGTTAGTAGTCATCCATTCATCATCGGCAAACTTGGTTAAGTAAGATCTGATTGAATCAGGGAAAACGACAACAACGGTATCATCTTCAGTTAAATCTTTGGCGACTTCTAATGCAGCTTGCAATGCAGAACCAGAAGAGCCACCAACTAAAATACCTTCTTCTCTAATAATTCTTCTAGCCAATTTGAAAGATTCGGAATCATCAGTTTTGATCCAGGAGTCAACCCTGTCTCTCTTTAAAACATCAGGGATAAAGTCATAACCAATACCTTCAACTAAGTAACCTTCGCTTGTATCATTTAAGGATTCTGGTACAGCTAAAATAGAACCCTTTGGATCGGCACCAATAATTTTAATATTTGAATTCTTTTCCTTCAAGTATTTGGAAATACCAGTGATAGTACCACCAGTACCGGCACCAGCAATTAAATGGGTAACCTCACCATTAGTTTGCTCCCAAATTTCATAACCTGTACCGTAATAATGAGCATCAGGGTTAGCTTCATTCGAATACTGGTCTAAGATAACAGAATTAGGGATCTCCTTTTCTAATTTTCTGGCTACCCCAATATGCGATTCTGGGGCATCCCAGGCTGCCTCTGTTGGAGTTCTGATAATTTCAGCACCTAAAGCTTTCAACACTGAAACCTTTTCGTTGGACATCTTTTCTGGCAATGTAATAATGGTTCTGTACCCTCTAACGGCACCTACCAATGCTAAACCAATACCAGTGTTACCCGAAGTAGGTTCAATCAAGGTATACCCTGGCTTAATCCTACCTTGTTTCTCGGCTTCTAAAACCATGTTTTTGGAAATTCTATCCTTAATAGAACCACCTGCATTAAATAATTCAACCTTAGCATACACCTTGGCTTTAATACCAAAGCTTTGTGGAATTCTATTTAACTTGATTAATGGTGTGTTACCAATTAAATCTAAAGCATCTTCAGCAATAGGAGGGATAGGCATTTTGATTTTCTTATATTCTGACTTTTATAATCAACTTTAAAAGAACCTTGAATATATTACAAAGTAAAAAAAAAAGCTAAAACAAAGCGCCATAGTACGGAGTACAGAAGATGTGGCATCGCTAATTTTGTGATTTATTGGAACAGAGCCGTTTGAAATTTCTTTTGAGGCATCGCAAAATTGCATATTGAAAGCTGCAAATATACTATTTCGAACCCATTTCTGGATCCCGAAGTGAAACACCATCTATGCCTTATCAATTCTATTGCAGAGTTAATGACTCTATTATAATGAAAAAAGAATTATTTCCTAGTAATTTATATTAGCGGCATTGAGATATAATGTAGGCTATTTAAAGGTAAGTGACATTCAACTAGAATCTACACTTAGACCAGTGATATACATTGAAATTGTCTCTTTTCCGGTAATGGATGGCCCGATTATTTGGGTGTAGGAAGAAGTAAATGTCAAGAGAAATAGAGTTTTTATTTATGTTTTTGCACCCAATGGTTTCGATTAAAAATGGGACGCACTTACGATGCCTTGATATAATTCAAACTATGTCATCTACTATGTTCAAAATGGATTTCACCAAAGTTCGTATAGTCTTTTTCAATCATTATAAAGGTATGTATTGAGATGATGAAATTTTTTTCGAATTAAACAAAATTGTGAGTTTTGTGGATAAATTCATAAAATCTTGCAAATATGCTAGGTACTAAAATTAAAGTATATCTATTCAAAATATATAATACGGCGGTTTATCATACGATAGCTATTGTTTTAATCGGTTAGAGGTGATTACAGAGTTTTTAATATCATTCAGTCGTATGACACTGGCAAAAAGTAACACAAAAGCGTCTACCTACTCAAACATTAATGATTTTACACTTAACAACATCTGAATCATGACCTGGGATGCCTTTAGTAAAATCATAGACCTGGAATACACCCTTTCGATCCACAGCATAAATTTTACCCCCATCCGAGGAAAATCTCAATGAAGCAGCTTCGGTAAATCTTGCAGCATTTGCAACCTCCCCTAATTGAACGACAACTCTTTTTATAGAGGATGTTGGATGTTGGAAATTTGGAGTTGAAACCAAAAATACATGGCCCGATTTATTTAAAAATACTATTGCATCACCACGGGGCAGAAGTGCGAGTCTATGAATCGAGGAACCAATCTCAGGTATTTTCATAATTGTTTCTGAACCATTGATGTTGGATACTTGTGAATTATCGTTTTCTTCATCACATTTACTATATAAGCTGCTCTGAAGACTAAAGTCTTGTGATTGATTGTCTATCGAATTAGTATGCCCCGCAAATGCAGAGTTATGATTCCGGGAATCTATTTCGCCTTCCAACTTGAGAACATACGACGGTCTATCTTTTAAGGAACATGATGCCAAAAAAATCACATTAGCCTTCATTGCACCAAATTGTAAATCAGTGATACCTTCGTCATCCATCAGTTGGAAGTCATCAGACTGTTCATTATCCGAACCAGCATCATTAATTTCAGTGTTTCTTATCCTATAATGTCTTGTATAAGTTAGTTCAGTCCACACCAATCTTGGTTTTCTATAATTATTTGAACGTTTATTTCTTAATTTAATTATTAAATATCTTGATTCCCATACTGTGCAACATAAAAGGTGCGTGGAAGTTGAATTGAAATTGATGATTTTGATTGGATCACGATATGGAATTGTTATGGTTATTGGTTCCACAGACTCAAATGCCTGTTCATGATTCAAGGAAGGGTTAAGCTTGTGCAATATTATAAATGGCTGCTCTTTACTTGAGAGTCTTTCTTTAGCAGTGATTCCACAAGCAACAAGAGACTCATTCGGTGATATAGATATGCATCTAATTGGGAAATTCGTAATGTATATATACATGGACCTGCCCAATTCATTCGGTAATGAGGATGATGAAACATTTAAGACTCGCATTACACCTTTAGTACCAGATATAAGCAAATAATTGGTAGAAAGCTTACAGAATACCTGATCCCAGTTATTGAGTCTCTTCTTCTTTTCCTCATCATTACTTTGCTTGTTGGAATTATTATTTGAACTCTGTCCGCTGGCGAAATCATTTTTGATGATAACTTCTTTTGAATTGGAATCATCCCATAAATTGTTAAAATCTCTACCATATTCCCCTGTCAGCTTTCCACAACATAATAGCACAGGCTTAGCGGAATAGGAGTCAGGGATATTTACGTAAACTCTGTATTCGTACAACTCCCATTTTTTATTCGTAATAAGAACAAATCTGGTAACTTCACAATTGGTCCCAAAATCAAAGTAAGTATGAATATCGCTACATATGAATGATGCATTTTTCTTGATTATGGATCCCTTCGTTATTGACGAAATATTAAATTTCGATTGTTGGGTTTGAAATGTAGATAATTTTCTATGGAAAGGAAAGCATTTACTGAAATTGTATTCTTTTTCTTCGCTTAAATTAGAAAGTAATTTTTGTTCAAAATTTAGTTGATCATTAGGAGGCGGAATATTAAGAAGACTTTCTGAATATTGCGTTTTTGTATCAGGAAGTATGTAGTTATGTGCTGAAGGAGTGTTCGTATCAGGAAGTATGTAGTTTTGTGGTGAAGGGGTCTGTTCCGAAGTATCGGCAATTGCCAATGCCTTGGTTGAACTAATATCTTCTACTGCCTCAGAGTTAGTTTCCCCTGATTTCGAATGTTCTTCCGTGGCGAACTTGTAAAATAGGCCGATTAGATCCATGGATTCTGCTGTACTAGGTGATTCATTATGGTCAAATCCACTTGACCGTATACTCTTTTTTGAGGATGATCTTCTTCTGTTCTTATTGTTAAGATGAATATTGATTTCTTGAATAATATTAAACAAGTCCCTTAATGGTGTGACTTCTGCTAGTATGGATACATTTTTAGCTTGACAATTGGGGCAATCAGAATGATTGGTTTTGGAATTACTTGTGAAGTTCGATATGAAGTATGACTCAGACACTAAGCACCCACAAGTGAGAACAGACGCATCAGAAACAATAACATTCGGGCTTGAGGCACCCTTGAATTTCAAAAGTGCTTCTAGGCTAGACACTTTGAGTTTATCCATTAGGAAGAAAACTAATACGAACACAGATCAGTGTTAAGATGCACCGTATTTATTATATTAATCTCGCATTTTACTATTAGTATTTTTTATAAGCGGAGATAACGCCATTATCTTATTAAACGAGAATACAATCTTATATATATATATAAACTTGTAGATGGAATAGATATATATCACTTAATCATCTTGATCGTCATCTAAATTAACACTATTTCCGTTATATGTACCACGATCTTTTCTCTTCTCATCTGAATCCACTTTTGACTCGTTCTTCGAATCACTTTTAGAACTTCCTTCGTGGATAGTTTGAATATTACTTACAGATGGTATGCTACTTATTGGCTTTGGGGTCGATGAGCGAGGATTGTAATTAGATGACCCATTACCTGCAGATGGCATCTCTGATTGTTGCATACTTGGTCCACGAGAAAACGGAACTGGTGATGGGTTAGAACCAAAGTTAATTAGTGATGGCTGTGACCCAGAATTAATTGATAGAACATTGGGTGTTCCCGCACCACTTCTTAGTCTTGCATCGAAATAGTCTTCGACTCTTTCAGGTACCGGACTTGCTAAACGTGAGTCATTGATGCTAGTTGTATCCACTGGCCTATTACCATTGAGCTCTTCTGAGTCTCCTAAGGGACTTCTGGATCTTTCCATATCGTCATGTATTTCATAATCATGTGCTAGATCCCCGACACTATAATCAAAGAACGAGTATATTGCGTTACCAAACTTACTGATAGCACCACCTACTGAACGTAAATAGCCTGCTGGAGCTCTACCATTGGGATACGCATTCACGTAACTTTTATCATCATATATAGGTTTCAAAATTAATACCGAACGAGGGCACAAGTCCAAATCTGATAATTTCTTGAATTCCTGGTCGTCACTGTACGTTATACGCGGTAACACAGGGTGGTGGAAGACATAATGTGTTGGTTGAGGATATGATGCCGTAGCAAACGAAGGCAACGATGCATTAGCATTTGGAATAATCAGATGATCTGTCTCATTATCAAGCCAGCTCCGCACATCGTTCAAGGTTTGGTTGGCCTTAAAATCGTGTTTCAAGGAATTTCCATCAAATAACTTGATTGATAACGAACACATATCATATTTACTTGTATTCGATTTATGCATTTTGTCCTCCTCCAATGCCTCGTTGGCCACTTCTCGGGATGAGTTCATTTGTCTTAAATGGCGCTCTCTTTTGTCTGCCTCAAGCAAGGCTCTAATCCTCTTTTTCTCTTCATGTTCCTCTCGTTTAAGCATTTCAATTTGTCTTTTGTGCCTGACAACGTTCTGATCATGATCTCTTCCTAGTGTATTACTACGCATCTGGCTCTGAGGCACAGAAATATGCTCTTCTTGTCTCTCCAGCATCACAATAGGCTCATGGGACCCTGCATTTGTATGTGTCCCGGTTTGTTCATTCACCACCGAACTCTCAGCTCTTACATGTCCCAGTCTGTTGCAAATCTTGGTAATTCGTTCCACGAATTGGTCCGGCGTACATTCTTGCGTTACAACATCCAATAACTGCCCCTTATCAACCACGTAAAAACTGGGCACCACCAAATCATGGAAAATTTGCCTAAAATACCCATATTCTGTCGTATCTTCAATCAACTTTAACCCCACAAACTCCTTCTGCACCTTCTCACTTATACTCTGTCCACTACCACCAACTTTTGTCTGCAAGAGATCCTTAGCAAACGTCCGGGATGTCTCATCATCTCTTGATAAGAATACAAATAGTGCCTGGTTATTTTTCAACGATTTTTGCACAGCTTCTTGTACCGAAACCATAAAAACCTTATCTATACTTGATGTCATCTTTCCGTTACCAACTACCTTCGATTCATATAACTTTATACGCTAAACTTTCTTTAATAATATATTATATGAGTTACTTTTTGTCTCATATTGAGGCTTAATTAAAATTGTGATCGTCTGCACTACAGCATAATTTTATAGTCATATTTTCCTTACTAAATATGAAAGAAACGGACCTACGAATACTCCTTCTAACAGCTCAATCATGACTACATAGACCTAGGACTCCATTGTCAATATATACTACATATGGTAAAAAATTGGGTTAAGTATATTGAACACCTTTTGGGTATGGTATCATGTGATTATTCACGCCTATAGGAGATCGATTTATTGATGGTTTGTTTACATTATAAATATATAGGACTCTTTTAACCCTATAATACGAAATACTGGGGTAAAAAAGTTGATTTATGATATAGTGTTATGTCGGATAAACAGAATGCAAGCACAAGTATTAAAGTACTTGTAAGAGTGAGACCATTACTTGCAAGAGAGGTAGGAGAGGGAGATGAAGCCGAGGGTAATGAGTGCTTGGTATCGATGCCTACAGAAGATAAGACATGTGTGGAGCTTAGAGTGCCGACCACGTCAAGTTATCATTCGCAGAAGAATAAGGTGTTACAGAGCAATGAAGAAGATGCTGAAGATGAGGTTAAGAAGTATAAATTTGACCAATGTGTTTGGTCGTACGATAATAGAGATGGGCATTATACGAGTAATCGGGGATTTTATGATTCAATTGGGCCGCGAGTCATCCAGGATCTTTTCCAGGGGTTCAATATGTGCTTGTTGGCATACGGACAGACGAGCTCGGGGAAAACGTACACG